GACCATTTCTAGGTACAGGTGTCACATGGTTTATTTAGTAAAACGTTTCCACTAAAATACACTAAAGTGTAGTGCAACCCATAAAAAAAATGTCGTTGACAATGCCTCACGCATTTAAAAAACATTATTCGAGATAAATATATAATATCGTCAACTTGAACGTAGACGTGCAGCGGGCAAACAACAGCATTTCAGATACTAACTATAAAACTGCTTTATTGTGACAACGATTGTCTCAATGTTCTTTGGTGTCTGTTATTACGTTTCAGCCATATACAAAGCATAATATTGATTTGTAACAGTGAATGAGCATGAACACAACACCGGAAAACATCATGAAAGGATAATTGCACATTACTCTACTGCTTGACTGTCCAGATCACATTACGCTGCAGCATGTATTATTTATCTCCAGTCAACTCAATGATGCTTCTCATAAACAACACGATCGGTACGTTTTGCCGTGCTTCTTACTCTGAATATTATAGTTGACGGTTGATACGGCGTTTTATTCCACCAACTTCAGGACAATGTCGCTATGTTGCATGGTTTATTTTGCGACCCGTGAAGATCCGGGTAGAATAGGTCTTCAGCAACCATGCTTGTCGTAAAAGGCGACTATGCTTGTATGAGGAGACTAACGGGATTGGGGGTCAGGCTCGCTGACTTGGTTGATGTATGTCATCGTGTCCCAATTGCATGGATCGATGCTCATGATGTCAATCACTGGGTTGTCTGGTTCAGACTCGATGTTTACAGGCCGCCGTCATGTTGCTGGAATATTGCTGAGCGCGGCGTTATACAACAAAGAAAGAAAGAAACAAACAAAGCAATGAAATCAAGCTAAGTTGGAAAAGAAATGTCGATCGTTCTGTGTGGCGTTAACTAAAGCAAGGACGATGTAACAAACTATCAGTGTTATTGTTCAAACGTCTCTACAATAACTTCTCAAATGAAATAACCAACAGTTGCATTCAGTATATATTAAAATCATCCTTGAATGTGCCGGTCTTTCATATATCTTCAATATTCGAATTGTGATATTAATACTTCCTGGCTTAAGATTAGGTCTGTGCTAACAGATCATTATAAACAAAAATGGCATTCTGATATATCATCACCAAAAGGTAAAATATATTCAATATGTGAAGGATCATTCTTGTTTTGAAAATTACTTTTATCAGTTTGCGAGAGAGATAGTGGCGTGAAGTATTGAAATTTAGGACTTCTAATCATTTCTTACCAACTGAAACAGGCATATGGGCAGACAATAGAACAAGCGATAGGATGTATAATTTGTGAAAGCAACATGACTTGGGCGATGCGTTCCACTATTTGTCTCTAGGTGATCACTTTCTAACAGAAAGCCAATCTTTACTTACTTCATATCATATAGTAAGACCTAGCATGATAAAACTAAAGTAGTTTTCTCAACCATTAAACTCGGAACATTACGTTAACTTGTCAAACTCTATTGCACCATTAACAAAATGTTCTCACGATAATGCTATTTGTTATTATGCCATGTACACTACGTATTTATAAGTGTCCACATTGTTCTGTCTTGTATGGTGCATGGTGTTTTATGCTGTTAAATATTGCCAATTTAGATCTCTCATGCTAGACCCGTGAAGATTCCGGGGTAGAATAGGTCTTCAGCAACCCATGCTTGCCGTAAAAGGTGACTATGCTTGTCGTAAAAGGCGACTAACGGGATCCGGTGGTCAGGCTCGCTGACTTGGTTGATGCATGTCATCGATCCCAATTGCGTGGATCGATGCTCATGATATTAATCACTGGATCGTCTGGTCCAGACTCAATCATTTACAGACCGCCGTCATATATAGCTGGAATATTGCTGAGTGCGGCGTTAAACAACAAACCAACCAACCAACCAACATCTCATGCTGCGGATAGTGGGCCAAGAGAGAAAGAAATTCAGTGTGTGTGTGTGTGTGTGTGTGTGTGTGTGTGTGTGTGTGTGCTGTGTTTTGTGTTTCTTTCTGAATTTTCGTTTGTGTGTGTGGTGGTGGTCGCTTTTATTAACGCACACTGATGCGCATGTCCCATTTTTTACCACAGATACACTGCAAAAACCCTAACATGTATATGTAACATGTTATACATTTGTATTGTTTCGTATGGTACAAAATAGAACATAATTATTTCTTCTGATTAATTGGGTGATTATTATTTAATGCCGCATCAAAAACCTTTCTAAGCATGGTTAAGTTTGTATTACACATGCATTGTAAACCGATCAACATGTATTTACGATATTTGACGAGAACTTGATTTCATGTAACCATGGCTACCATGATGCTTCACTATAACGCCTGCGCGAGCATGTGTGCGTCTCCACGTGTATGTATATTTGCATGTGCGATGTATCTAGATAATCTAATTTGGCATTATAGTCCCCAATAACCCAGGACGCTGGGGAAGGAGGGGGTAAGGGGAGGGGTCTGTACATGAAGTTAATGTGTTGATACTTCTCTAGTATGTCACACAAACCCTGAAACAAATATAACATAGCAAATGCCAGTCTATAAGTGTGGGTAAGTCCAGATTAGTACAGTTCTGAAAATGAGTCTCCAGGCTCTTTCTTATTATATTTTATTAATTTAATTTAATAACTGTTGTTTTTTTCAGTTAAAAATGTTCATTTCAGTGAAAAGGTGTTAGTCTAATAGTCCAGAGCTGCGTATTTGCCTAAGATACACGAACTATATTTGTAACTCACCATAATCCATTTAATTTGCGTACAAATACGCATGAAGAAATTAGAGTCATGAGTGTGAGTGAGTTGGGTTTAACGCCGCTTTTAACATTATTCCAGTTATATCACGGCGTGCCAGCTTAATGTGGGAGGAAAGCCCGAAGTGATGCAGGTCTCAGACGTTTACCACTTCGGTGATACCCACGAGCACGGGTATGGTGCTGACAAACCTAGAAACATAATTGGGGCGAACCGGGATTCGAACCCACAATTATAGGTTTCTGGCGTGCCAAAGGGACGCAACTCTGCACAGCGAATCGCGGCGCCTTAGACGACTGGGCCACCCTTGTCCCCCGAAGAAATTAGATAAGACAACAGTTTAACAACATCGTGCGTAATGACCCAATGTAGTGTTTTCGGCTCACGTACACAAATATTTTTTTACAGATCTGGTGTGGTGAGATTTTGTATCGAGATTTAATACGTTTCAACTTCAGCTACAAAACCAGATATAGTTTTCTTTAAAACTATGAGTCTAAAAGTTTAAAAGAAAAACACCCTGCAACAATTTAGTTTTTATGGCAGGCAATTTCTTTCATTTTTCAACAGTCCGGAGCGTAAGTATGTTTTTCAAGAATGTTCGGGGACAATGTATTTTCTTTCGAGAAAAACCCAGGCCCCTCCCCAGAACATCAAAGGCCGCCCCCTTACCAAGTATCAACACTATATAATATGGGAATCCCTGCTTAGTGAAACAGATCGTATACCGTTTAGACGTACAAAGTCATGAACATATCAGTGGTTTCAGTATCAAATATCACTTACAAATTCGCGTCTTTATAAAGTGTGACACGTGAACATTGGATTGTGTATCTATTGCTTAAAACTATTTCACGCCTATTTTGGGAATGTCAAAAGGTACGCCCCTTCTGGTCCAATATGGAACACTAACTTCTCAGTGAAGGGAAAATAAACATTCATGTTTCACAAGAAAATATGGGATATGATGACATGTATCAACCAAGTCAGCGAGTCTGACCACCGGATCCCGTGAGTCGCCTCTTACGACAAGCACTGTCGCCTTTTACAGCAGGATGGCTTGCTAGATGGGGGTAATAGAGAACGTGTGTTGAGCTGTGGGCGAGTGACATTAACAGCTGCGGTCTGTAATATTGTAGCTTATCATGGCGCCCTGTACATAAAGGAAACCAGTGACTATGAAGATTTAGCAACAATCGGGACACGATGACATGCATCTGATACGTCAGCTCTCATGACTGAATGGGACATAGGGAGCTGCTCTTCCTGCATCCCAAAGTGAGTGTGAAATCGATACAATACTCCAGCCGTATCAAACATGGTCGACTGCAGTGGTTCAATGACAGATGAAATCAAATAAAGACCCTAATACAGTACCATCCATACCATGCAGTTATTGTTGACATCTAATCACCACTTTTGACATCTAATCACTGCTGTTGACATCTTATCACCACTGTTGACATCTAATCACCATTGTTGACATCTAATCACTGCTGTTGACATCTAATCACTGCTGTTGACATCTAATCACTGCTGTTGACATCTAATGGCCACTGTTGACATCTTATGACCACTGTTGACATCAAATCACCACTGTTGACATCTAATCAAAATTGTTGACATCTAATCAAAATTGTTGACATCTAATCACTGCTGTTAACATCTAATGACAACTGTTAACATCTTATCACCACTGTTGACATCTAATGACCACTGTTGACATCTAATGACCACTGTTGACATCTAATCACAATTGTTGACATCTAATCACCATTGCTGACATCTTATCACCACAGTTGACATCTTATGACCACTGTTGACATCTAATGACCACTGTTGACATCTAATGACCACTGTTGACATCTAATGGCCACTGTTGACATCTAATCACCACTGTTGACATCTGATCACCACTGTTGACATCTAATCACAATTGTTGACATCTAATCACCATTGCTGACATCTAATCACCACAGTTGACATCTAATCACCACAATTGACATCTAATGACCACTGTTGACATCTAATCACCACTATTGACATCTAATCACCACAGCTGACATCTAATCACCACTATTGACATCTGATCACCACTGTTGACATCTAATCACCATTGTTGACATCTAATCACCATTGTTGACATCTAATCACCATTGTTGACATCTAATCACCACTGTTGTTGGTCCTATTCTTCTCCAAAGTTATGATGAACAGGGAACACAATAGTAAACAAAGCATGTGGAATCATTGCTATATTTATTACCATAGATGCAGCATTTATTATACAATATTCATATCTGCATATTTACAGGCTACCCACATGCACTCAACATTCACACTCGACATGCACCCTCTCCATCCACACAACTGCAGTATATCAGCCCAGCTCTTTCTGCCTGCGTCGCTGTCGTGTAGTTTTACTCTTCTGTCCTGAAATGGATTCACTCTTAGATTTTCTGCCATTTTTTCTTTCAAGGACAGAAACATCTGTTTCAGTCTGTACGGTCACAGACCCCATCTTTGAAGCATTCTTCTTCATCTTCTTCCTGCTGCTTGGGGAATCAAGGACAGAAACATCTGTGTCAGTCTGTACAGTCACAGACCCCTTCTTTGAAGCATTCTTCTTCATCTTCTTCCTGCTGCTTGGGGAATCATGGACAGAGTCACCTGTGTCAGTCTGTAAGGTCACAGACCCCTTCTTTGAAGCATTCTTCTTCATCTTCTTCCTGCTACTGGGTGAATCCTGCTGGCTGACCTGGCCTGCTGAGTTTGATCTCTTCTTGGCTCCCTTCGACCCCGCCTGGAACAAACAATATCAGCACTGACACGTCTACCATGATGCACTACATGTTGTGCCACAGCACTACACTATTTCAAGGAAGTAGAGACAGTAGGTTGTAGTATGCATTATAACCCATATTTTACACACACTGTCTACACACATCACAGGGGACATGGGTGGCCCAGTCATTGAAGATGCTGTGATCTGCTGTGCTGAGTCATAAAGGCAAACCAGAGTCTAATGATTCAAAATCACCCTAATTATATTTCTAGTTTTGTCTGCACAACAAAAACAGGTTTCACCAAATTGGTTAATGTTTAAGATCTACAATGTCAGGCTTTCCTCCCATTCTAAGCTGACGTGCTGTGGCATAAATGAAATACTGTTCAAAAAGAAACAAAATCCAAACTCATACCAGCCCACTAAAAAAGAATATCTCTCAATGACATCGGTCAATGTGTCAAAAATGCCTGAATATGGATTTGATTGTTTGTTGTTTAACGCTGCACTCAGCAATATTCCAGCTATACGACAGCTGTCTTAAAAATAATCAAGGCTGGACCAGACAATCCAGTGATTGACATCATAAGCATCGATCCACACATTTGGGACATCATCAACCAAGTCAGCCAGCCAGACCACCTGATCTCGTTAGTCGCCTCTTATGACAAAGCACAGTCACCTCTTATGACAAAGCACAGTCACCTCTTATGACAAAGCACAGTCACCTCTTATGACAAAGCATAGTCACCTCTTATGACAAAGCACAGTCACCTCTTATGACAAAGCACAGTCACCTCTTATGACAAAGCACAGTCACCTCTTATGACAAAGCATAGTCACCTCTTATGACAAAGCACAGTCACCTCTTATGACAAAGCACAGTCACCTCTTATGACAAAGCACAGTCACCTCTTATGACAAAGCATAGTCACCTCTTATGACAAAGCACAGTCACCTCTTATGACAAAGCACAGTCACCTCTTATGACAAAGCATAGTCACCTCTTATGACAAAGCACAGTCACCTCTTATGACAAAGCACAGTCACCTCTTATGACAAAGCATAGTCACCTCTTATGACAAAGCACAGTCACCTCTTATGACAAAGCATAGTCACCTCTTATGACAAAGCACAGTCACCTCTTATGACAAAGCATAGTCACCTCTTATGACAAAGCACAGTCACCTCTTATGACAAAGCACAGTCACCTCTTATGACAAAGCACAGTCACCTCTTATGACAAAGCACAGTCACCTCTTATGACAAAGCACAGTCACCTCTTATGACAAAGCACAGTCACCTCTTATGACAAAGCACAGTCACCTCTTATGACAAAGCACAGTCACCTCTTATGACAAAGCACAGTCACCTCTTATGGCAAGCATGGGTTGCTGAAGACCTATTCTACCCCAGAGCCTGTGCATGGAACATTATAGGATACATTTCCTTATCTATCAACTGCTTCTTACCATTTCTCCTTTCTTGTGATGATCTTTCCTGCTCTCCTTATCAGATGGAACTTTAGAGAAAGGTGCCACTTCAGAACTAGTTTTGGAGTATGCTTCAACATGCTTTGACCTCTGTGTAACCTTGACCTTTGTTCCCTGTACAATCTCATCCTCTCCATCACTGTGAGACAAGTCTTCAGTCACATCAGCTCTGTTTTCGTTAGTTTCAGATGCTGAATCTGAATCTGAGTCTGAGTCTGACCCTGAACCTGAGTTTGACCTTGACCTATGCCTTTTATTTCCAACTGCTCTAACCCTCTCTTGGGAAAGCACGTCTTCTCCCAAGGCTTCGGGCTGTGAACTGACCACCACAGACAGACTGGTTACAGAAGGACTTTACAACAGCATTACAACAACATACATAATACAGCATCACAGCTCTGTGGCTTGCCAAAGACAGTCACTTTACAAAGGAAGCTCTCAGCTTTTTTATTAAAATAGTTTCAGCTTTAACACTGAAGACTAAAAACTAAGATAAAATCTAATGATCTGAACAAAATATGAAGTCATCATAATGAGAACAAATATGCCCAAGTTCAGGTCCCTCAATCTGGCCATTTCAGAGGGGAAATCAGAGGGTAAAGACAAACAAATCGTAAAGATAGAATTTAAGGTAAAAAAAAACGTGAAAATATTGCAAAAAACAGAACATGAGCATGAAGCCTCACTACCAACTAAACATGTATCAAAGTTAGTAATATTATGAAAATAGATGGTTGAGTAATGGCCATAGAAAGGTTTTTGAGTATGGCTTCTGTTGCGGCCATATTGAATGTCATATTAAAACCTCTTGAAAAAATTCAGGTGTCATCATCGGTGGGAACAAGCATGTGAATTTTCAGCCTCTCCTCAGACAGAAATGGATACAGTAAGGGTGTGTACATTTTGATGTTTGTTTATTGTTAAAAGCCACACTCAGCAATATTCCAGCTATATGACTATGGTCTGTATAAATAATCGAGGTTGGACCGGACAATCCAGTGATTGAGATCATGAGCATCGGTCCACATGATGGGGATACGATGACATGAATCAACCAAGTGAGCAAGTCTGACCACCTGATCCCATTAGTCGCCTTTTACGACAAGCATAGTCACCATTTATGGCAAGCATGGGTTGCTGAGGACCTATTCCACCCCGGATGTTCACGGGAGGTGTGTACGTACCTGTGTGGGGCAGTGGGGCTGGCTCCGACCGTGCGGCTGCACTGCCAAGTGTACTCGATGAAGCGGGACTGCTGGTACAGCCGAGTGAGTCGCTGGAAGTGTCGCTCTGGAGGGGGAGAGGAAGAGTGCAGCAGGCCATACAAGGTTATTTTCATAGAGTTGGTTGGTTGGTTGGTTTGTTGTTTAACGCCACATTCAGCAATATTCCAGCTATTTGCTGCAGGTGATTGTTGGCAAAAGTGTCTGATATTGTTCTTCTTGTATAGGGGAGTAGTTGCCCCACGGTGGTGCGGATGTCGGCAGGTGCTCGTTTATTTCTTTGTCTTTTAACAGCAATATACCAGCAATATTCCAGCTATATGACAGTGGTCTGTAAATAATCAAGTCTGGACCAGTCAATTCAGTTATTGACACCATGACCATCGATCCACGCAATTGGGATACGATGACATGCATCAACCAAGTCAGCGAGCCTGACCACCCGATGCCGTTAGTCGCCTCTTATGACAAGCACAGTCGCTTTTAATGGCAAGCATGGGTTGCTGAAGACCTATTCTAACCTGGATCTTCACGGGTCTGTGGGCAGGTGAGAGGGTCTACTTACCTGTATAGGGCAGCAATCCCTCCACGGTGGAGCGGATGTTGGGGAGGCCGCAGATGTCGGCAGGTGAGAGGGTCTGTAGCACAACACGGAGAAGAAGCTGTGCGAGGTGACAGTGTTTACTGTTGGTGTTCCACGCAACGCTGAACCGGAGGATGGCATCTGTAAACACATCAGGTCACACAAGGTCAAACACCACACAAGAGGTCAACACAAAAAGTAATCTACATCACATCTACTGGAGGATCACATCTAGTGGAGGATCACATCAAGTGGAGGATCACACCTAGTGGGGGATCACATCTACTGGAGGATCACATCTAGTGGAGGATCACATCTAGTGGAGGATCACATCTAGTGGAGGATGACATCTAGTGGGGGATCACATCTAGTCAAGGATCACATCTAGTGGAGGATCACATCTAGTCAAGGATCACATCTAGTGGAGGATCACATATAGTAGAGGATCACAACTATTGGAGGATCACATCTAGTGGGGGATCACATCTACTGGAGGATCACATCTAGTGGAGGATCACATCTAGTAGAGGATCACATCTAGTGGAGGATCACATCTAGATGGGGATCACATCTAGTGGAGGATCACATCTAGTGGAGGATCACATCTAGCAGAGAATCACATCTAGTGGAGGATCACATCTCGTGGAGGATCACATCTAGTGGAGGATCACATCTAGTGGAGGATCACATCTACTGGAGGATCACATCTAGTGGGGGATCACATCTACTGGAGGATCACATCTAGTGGAGGATCACATCTAGTGGGGGATCACATCTAGTGGAGGATCACATCTAGTAGAGGATCACATCTAGTGGAGGATCACATCTAGATGGGGATCACATCTAGTGGAGGATCACATCTAGTGGAGGATCACATCTAGCAGAGAATCACATCTAGTGGAGGATCACATCTCGTGGAGGATCACATCTAGTGGAGGATCACATCTAGTGGAGGATCACATCTACTGGAGGATCACATCTAGTGGGGGATCACATCTACTGGAGGATCACATCTCGTGGAGGATCACATCTAGTGGAGGATCACACCTAGTGGGGGATCACATCTAGTGGGGGATCACATCTAGTGGGGGATCACATCTACTGGAGGATCACATCTAGTGGAGGATCACATCTAGTGGAGGATCACATCTAGTGGGGGATCACATCTCGTGGAGGATCACATCTAGTGGAGGATCACATCTAGTGGGGGATCACATCTAGTGGAGGATCACATCTCGTGGAGGATCACATCTAGTGGAGGATCACACCTAGTGGAGGATCACACCTAGTGGGGGATCACATCTAGTGGGGGATCACATGAAGTGGAGGATCACATGTAGTGGAGGATCACACCTAGTGGAGGATCACATCTCGTGGGGGATCACATCTCGTGGAGGATCACATCTAGTGGGGGATCACATCTAGTGGAGGATCACATGAAGTGGAGGATCACATGTAGTGGAGGATCACACCTAGTGGAGGATCACACCAAGTGGGGGATCACATCTAGTGGGAGATCACACCTAGTGGGGGATCACATCTAGTGGAGGATCACATCTAGTGGAGGATCACATCTAGTGGAGGATCACATGTAGTGGAGGATCATGCCTGGAGCAGCAATTCATTGCTTACCTATCTGATCAGGCCGCAGTTTGGACAAAGTCTCTTCCAGTTTTTTCTGACCATCCACATCAAACAGGATTTCTACAAATAATGCACATGTATGTTAGATACATTTGACTTGTACAGACATCATGTCCATATCAGGAATGAATTTTAAATATTGGGTGAGCACAGGATGCTGACAGATCACGTAACGTGATCAAGGTGAATGTGGTTATTGAACCCATGCGAGGACATCGTGTCCTCATAAGCTAAACCCTTCACAAGGCATGTGATCTGGACATCCTCGGCCCTGATGGTGAGGAGACAGCTATGTGTGGAAGCCTACCCTTCATGACAGTCAGAGCTCGGTATGGCTGTTCCAGTGTGATGGCCAGCCCGATAGCTTTCAGGTACCGCTTCTCATGGATCAGGTTAGATAACTCTTGTTGTCTGCAACAACAAATAGAAGCTTATAGAGAAACCTGTGGGTGTCCTATCAATTGTGACTGTGTGAGATAAGAGCATGTCATGAGACTATCAGTGTTGTTAACATGTCAGTATGTCATGTCACTATCATCGATGTTAGCATGCCTGTATGTCATGTCACTATCAGTGTTGTTAACATAGCTGTATGTCATGTCACTATCAGTGTTGTTAACATAGCTGTATGTCATGTCACTATCAGTGTTGTTATCATGCCTGCATGTCATGTCACTATTGATGTTGTTAGCATGCCTGTATGTCATGTCACTATCAGTGTTGTTAGCATGCCTGCATATCATGTTACTATCATTGTTGTTAGCATGCCTGTATGTCATGTCACTATTGGTGTTAACATGCCTGTATGTCATGTCACTATCGGTGTTAACATGCCAGTATGTCATGTCATTATCAGTGTTGTTAGCATGCCAGTATGTCATGTCACTATCAGTGTTGTAAACATGCCAGTATATCATGTCACTATCAGTGTTGTTAGCATGCCTGCATGTCATGTCACTATCGGTGTTGTTAGCATGCCTGTATGTCATGTCACTATCGGTGTTGTTAGCATGCCTGCATATCATGTTACTATCATTGTTGTTAGCATGCCTGTATGTCATGTCACTATTGGTGTTTACATGCCTGTATGTCATGTCACTATCGGTGTTAACATGCCAGTATGTCATTTCATTATCAGTGTTGTTAGCATGCCAGTATGTCATGTCACTATCAGTGTTGTAAACATGCCAGTATATCATGTCACTATCAGTGTTGTTAGCATGCCTGCATGTCATGTCACTATCGGTGTTGTTAGCATGCCTGTATGTCATGTCACTATCGGTGTTGTTAGTATGCCTGTATGTCATGTCACTATTGATGTTGTTAGCATGTCTGTATGTCATGTCACTATTGATGTTGTTAACATGCCTGCATGTTATGTCACTATCGGTGTTGTTAGCATGCCTGTATGTCATTTCACTATCGGTGTTGTTAGCATGCCTGCATTACATGTCACTATCAGTGTTGTTAACATGCTTGTATGTCATGTCACTATCAGTGTTGTTAACATATCTGCATGTCATGTCACTATCGGTGTTGTTAGCATGCCTGTATGTCATGTCACTATTGATGTTGTTAGCATGTCTGTATGTCATGTCACTATTGATGTTGTTAGCATGTCTGTATGTCATGTCACTATTGATGTTGTTAGCATATCTGTATGTCATGTCACTATTGATGTTGTTAGCATGTCTGTATGTCATGTCACTATCGGTGTTGTTAGTATGCCTGTATGTCATGTCTCTATCTGTGTTGTTAGTATGTCTGTATGTTAAGTCACTATCGGTGTTGTTAGTATGCCTGTATGTCATGTCACTATTGATGTTGTTAGCATGCCTGTATGTCATGTCACTATTGATGTTGTTAGTATGCCTGTATGTCATGTCACTATCGGTGTTGTTAGTATGCCTGTATGTCATGTCTCTATCTGTGTTGTTAGTATGTCTGTATGTTAAGTCACTATCGGTGTTGCTAGCATGTCTGTATGTTACGTCACAGTGTTGTTAGCATGCCTGTATGTTATGTCACAGTGTTGCTATCATGTCTGTATGTTACGTCACAGTGTTGCTAGCATGTCTGTATGTTACGTCACAGTGTTGCTAGCATGCCTGTATGTTACGTCACAGTGTTGCTAGCATGTCTGTATGTTACGTCACAGTGTTGCTAGCATGTCTGTATGTTACGTCACTATCGGTGTTGTTAGTATGTCTGTATGTTACGTCACTATCGGTGTTGCTAGCATGTCTGTATGTTACGTCACAGTGTTGCTAGCATGTCTGTATGTTAAGTCACAGTGTTGCTAGCATGTCTGTATGTGACATGATATACTGGCATGTTTACAACACTGATAGTATGTCTGTATGTTACGTCACTATCGGTGTTGCTAGCATGTCTGTATGTTACGTCACAGTGTTGCTAGCATGTCTGTATGTTACGTCACTATCGGTGTTGCTAGCATGCCTGTATGTTACGTCACAGTGTTGCTAGCATGTCTGTATGTTACGTCACTATCGGTGTTGTTATGTTGTTATGTTGCTAGCATGTCTGTATGTTACGTCACTATCGGTGTTGTTAGTATGTCTGTATGTTACGTCACTATCGGTGTTGCTAGCATGTCTGTATGTTACGTCACAGTGTTGCTAGCATGTCTGTATGTTACGTCACAGTGTTGCTAGCATGTCTGTATGTTACGTCACAGTGTTGCTAGCATGTCTGTATGTTACGTCACAGTGTTGCTAGCATGTCTGTATGTTACGTCAGTGTTGCTAGCATGTCTGTATGTTACGTCACTATCGGTGTTGCTAGCATGCCTGTATGTTACGTCACAGTGTTGCTAGCATGTCTGTATGTTACGTCACTATCGGTGTTGCTAGCATGTCTGTATGTTACGTCACAATGTTGCTAGCATACCTGTATGTTACGTCACAGTGTTGCTAGCATGTCTGTATGTTACGTCACTATCGGTGTTGTTAGTATGTCTGTATGTTACGTCACTATCGGTGTTGCTAGCATGTCTGTATGTTACGTCACAGTGTTGCTAGCATGTCTGTATGTTACGTCACAGTGTTGCTAGCATGTCTGTATGTTACGTCACAGTGTTGCTAGCATGTCTGTATGTTACGTCACAGTGTTGCTAGCATGTCTGTATGTTACGTCAGTGTTGCTAGCATGTCTGTATGTTACGTCACTATCGGTGTTGCTAGCATGCCTGTATGTTACGTCACAGTGTTGCTAGCATGCCTGTATGTTACGTCACAGTGTTGCTAGCATGTCTGTATGTTACGTCACAATGTTGCTAGCATACCTGTATGTTACGTCACAGTGTTGCTAGCATGCCTGCATGATACTACCAGGTCAAATGGCAAGGTAACGTTACACAATATTGCTAAATGAGGCGTTTGACAACAAACAAACCAAGCGGACACAGACATATCTACTTACTGCAGCACTTGCTGTTCTTGCTTAAGGAGGATTTCCTCACCTTCCTGCTCAGACACATCCTGCAACACACGCCAAGATTACAGTACCACCCGGGAAATAAACATATCCTCCTGAATGCTTCTATTGAATAACAAAATATGCGAAAATTACTTCCTTGATCAGAAATCTGGGGGTAAAAGACTAACTAAATAAGAGTATCTGAAGTACAAAGGACCAAACTAAAACAACACCAAAATGTATATATCCCTGTGTTATCAGATGCTTAAGAAACATTTGTAATTTCTTGTAAATCACAAGAACTCAAGACATCGCACTCACTTATAAAAGATGACTTTATCATAAAAACAGTTCATCATCTGAGTATTGACAATGTCTGTGTGATGCCACGACCTTGTTATAGCGCAAGTAATCACAATAAACATGTCTGTCCAAAAACGTATGATGTCCGAAAACCTATGACCCTGTAATCCTGCATCCACAGGTCTGTTGGTCAACACCACAGTGAGCCATATTCCCACCACATCATGGTGGCCTGTGTATTATCAAGTCTAGACCAGACAAACCAGTGACTCATACTGTCAACAATCAGCCACGTCATTGAACTTGAACATCTCGTTTGACAAGCATAGATTATTGGGGACCCAGAGCCTAGAATCCTGACAGGGCACTCCATACTACAAATTTATAGTACTTAAACTACTTTCAACATTCATACTGATACATGTAGTCTGTTTAATGGTTGAAACTGACTGTTTTTGAAAAATTGCTGGAATGGGAGCCCATGTAGTTTTAGTGTCAGAGGCGTTCAAGTTTGTGGACGGACAATATGCCTGGACCTAACGCCGAGCGATACACGCGGCTACACTCCTCCCCACCTTCCATAAGATAATGTTGGACTCTGCATCTGCCGTGACCACCCTCTCCTCGTCTTGGCTGCAGGCCACGCACCAGACCTTGGCGGCATGCTCATCATACGTCTTCACGCAGTCGTTCGTCTTGATGGTCCACAGCTTCAGCAGGCCATCAGACCCTCTGCCAACATATACATACTAGATCCTACACTCAGATCTGTCAACATATACATACTAGATCCTACACTCAGATCTGTCAACGTCTACATACTAGATCATACACTCAGATCTGTCAACATATACATACTAGATCATACACTCCGATCTGTCAACGTCTACATACTAGATCATACACTCAGATCTGTCAACGTCTACATACTAGATCCTACACTCAGATCTGTCAACATATACATACTAGATCATACACTCCGATCTGTCAACGTCTTCATACTAGATCATACACTCCGATCTGTCAACGTCTACTTTCACTTTCATCAAGGTCTACTTACACACATCAAGGTCTACTTACACACATCAAGGTCTACTTACCATGCTTACACACATCAAGGTCTACTGACTTGAAGGTCTACTTACACGCATCAAGGTCTACTTACACACATCAAGGTCTACTTACACACATCAAGGTCTACTAACACACATCAAGGTCTGCTTACACACATCAAGGTCTACTTACCATGCTTACACACATCAACGTCTACTTTCACAGATCTAGGTCTACTTACATGAAGGTCTACTTACACACATCAAGGTCTACTTACACACATCAAGGTCTACTTACACACATCAAGGTCTACTTACCATGCTTACACACATCAAGGTCTACTGACTTGAAGGTCTACTTACACGCATCAAGGTCTACTTACACACATCAAGGTCTACTTACACACATCAAGGTCTACTAACACAGATCAAGGTCTACTTACACACATCAAGGTCTACTTACCATGCTTACACACATCAAGGTCTACTGACTTGAAGGTCTACTTACACACATCAAGGTCTACTTACACGCATCAAGGTCTACTTACACACATCAAGGTCTACTTACCATGCTTACACACATCAAGGTCTACTTGCATGAAGGTCTACTTATACGCATCAAGGTCTACTTACATGAAGGTCTACTTACACACATCAAGGTCTACTTACCATGCTTACACACATCAAGGTCTACTTGCATGAAGGTCTACTTACACACATCAAGGTCTACTTGCATGAAGGTCTACTTATACGCATCAAGGTCTACTTACATGAAGGTCTACTTACACACATCAAGGTCTGCTTACACAGATCAAGGTCTACTTACACAATCACGGTCTGCTTACACACATCAAGGTCTGCTTAGACACATCAAGGTCTACTTACACAATCACGGTCTGCTTACACACATCAAGGTCTGCTTACACACATCAAGGTCTGCTTAGACACATCAAGGTCTACTTACACACATCAAGGTCTGCTTACACACATCAAGGTCTACTTACACACATCAAGGTCTGCTTACACACATCGTTGTCTACTTACACACATCAAGGTCTACTTACACACATCAAGGTCTGCTTACACACATCAAGGTCTGCTTACACACATCGTTGTCTACTTACACACATCAAGGTCTGCTTACACACATCGTTGTCTACTTACACACATCAAGGTCTGCTTACACACATCGTTGTCTACTTACACACATCAAGGTCTGCTTACACACATCGTTGTCTACTTACACACATCAAGGTCTGCTTACACACATCGTTGTCTACTTACACACATCAAGGTCTACTTACACACATCAAGGTCTGCTTACACACATCAAGGTCTACTTACACACATCAAGGTCTGCTTACACACATCAAGGTCTACTTACACACATCAAGGTCTGCTTACACACATCAAGGTCTGCTAATACACATCAAGGTCTACTTACACACATCAAGGTCTGCTTACACACATCAAGGTCTGCTTACACACATCGTTGTCTACTTACACACATCAAGGTCTGCTTACACACATCGTCTACTTACACACATCAAGGTCTGCTTACACACATCGTTGTCTACTTACACACATCAAGGTCTGCTTACACACATCGTTGTCTACTTACACACATCAAGGTCTCCTTACACACATCGTTGTCTACTTACATCAAGGTCTGCTTACACACATCGTTGTCTACTTACACACATCAAGGTCTACTTACACACAACAAGGTCTACTTACACACATCAAGGTCTACTTACACACAACAAGGTCTACTTACACACATCAAGGTCTGCTTACACCCATCAAGGTCTACAAACACACATCAAGGTCTACTTACACACAACAAGGTCTACTTACACACATCAAGGTCTACTTACACACATCAAGGTCTACTTACACACATCAAGGTCTGCTAATACACATCAAGGTCTACTTACACACATCAAGGTCTGCTTACACACATCAAGGTCTGCTTACACACATCGTTGTCTACTTACACACATCAAGGTCTACTTACACACATCAAGGTCTGCTTACACACATCAAGGTCTGCTTACACACATCGTTGTCTACTTACACACATCAAGGTCTGCTTACACACATCGTTGTCTACTTACACACATCAAGGTCTGCTTACACACATCGTTGTCTACTTACACACATCAAGGTCTGCTTACACACATCGTTGTCTACTTACACACATCAAGGTCTGCTTACACACATCGTTGTCTACTTACACACATCAAGGTCTACTTACACACATCAAGGTCTGCTTACACACATCAAGGTCTACTTACACACATCAAGGTCTGCTTACACACATCAAGGTCTACTTACACACATCAAGGTCTGCTTACACACATCAAGGTCTGCTAATACACATCAAGGTCTACTTACACACATCAAGGTCTGCTTACACACATCAAGGTCTGCTTACACACATCGTTGTCTACTTACACATATCAAGGTCTGCTTACACACATCGTCTACTTACACACATCAAGGTCTGCTTACACACATCGTTGTCTACTTACACACATCAAGGTCTGCTTACACACATCGTTGTCTACTTACACACATCAAGGTCTCCTTACACACATCGTTGTCTACTTACACACATCAAGGTCTGCTTACACACATCGTTGTCTACTTACACACATCAAGGTCTACTTACACACATCAAGGTCTACTTACACACATCAAGGTCTACTTACACACATCAAGGTCTGCTTACACACATCGTTGTCTACTTACACACATCAAGGTCTACTTACACACATCAAGGTCTACTTACACACATCAAGGTCTACTTACACACATCAAGGTCTGCTTACACACATCAAGGTCTACTTACACACATCAAGGTCTGCTTACACACATCAAGGTCTACTTACACACATCAAGGTCTACTTACACACATCAAGGTCTACTTACACACATCAAGGTCTGCTTACACACATCAAGGTCTACTTACACACATCAAGGTCTGCTTACACACATCGTTGTCTGCTTACACACATCAAGGTCTACTTACACACATCAAGGTCTGCTTACACACATCAAGGTCTGCTTACACACATCGTTGTCTACTTACACACATCAAGGTCTACTTACACACATCAAGGTCTACTTACACACATCAAGGTCTACTTACACACATCAAGGTCTGCTTACACACATCAAGGTCTACTTACACACATCAAGGTCTACTTACACACATCAAGGTCTGCTTACACACATCAAGGTCTGCTTACACACATCAAGGTCTGCTTACACACATCAAGGTCTGCTTACACACATCAAGGTCTACTTACACACATCAAGGTCTACTTACACACATCAAGGTCTGCTTACACACATCAAGGTCTACTTACACAGACAGCAGCTGCATGCCTCTTGAGACAAACACCACCTTCAGGACGGACGCATCATGGCCTTCAAAGGTCTGTAGAACACAAAACAAACAATACATCCACAATGTAACTGGTTGTTTACTACTTTGTTTACAACATGTGTCTCCTTCATCCATAAATGATAAAGATGATAAGACGAAGCACTGACCTTCAGACAGGAGAGGTCGGACAGACTCCAGATGCGGACACTGCCGTCGGTAGAGCTGGTGGCCAAACACTGCAGCAACAAAACAGGTGTCGGTAAGACCAGGCTCTTCAGTCGTATGTACCCTACAGTAGACTAGCCTAGCTTGTCTTCACCATGACACACATTATCTGACTTACCTTCTCTTTGACGATTTGGAGCTTTTTTAGGTTTAACTTAATTTCAGTTGAAACCAATTGTTTATAGCAAGGTTTCATGATAGAAGTTTGCAAGTTTCAAAATTTTCAGATTACGAAAAAGTGATTTACATGTTTTACATTACTTGAGTGTAATATTTTCAATGTTGAATGTTAATTCAGAAATAACGGTTCGGCTTTCATCTACATTGTGTTCCTTACATATATGTACACATATTCTCATTAGGGGTGAAATGATACAGCAAGGCCACGATACGATACGTATCATGATACGACATGTATTGCGATATGCATATTTACTTCAAATCGTGGAGAAACGTCTTGACTATGAATATTTCAGAGCAGGTTCAAAAGGAAAAGCTAGCTGTAGACACTTGTTCGTTGCAGCTCTTTTTAGTAGTGAACTTAATTACAACACATTTTGCGATTTTTGACTTACCATAACACTGGGGGGTCATTAAACGAGCATTAAACGATATTGTAAGAAAAAAACTGATGTGATTATGATAATCAAGGTGTACCTGGTCTACAGGTGAGAACTGGACGCACCACACCCCTCTGGAGTGTCCTCGGAACACCCCGGCCAAAGACAGATTGGAACCCTTCCACAGCTGAAATCATAAACACATCGCCCATAACTGTCTTGTAGACAGTGGAGGTACGCATCCCCAAGCTACCACTGGACCTTGAAATCAACTATTCAAGTATATATCAAGTATATGTTCATTTGTGAGAAATATGTTTGAGGGGAGTGTCATTACGTTAATGAAATTCCATCTGCGCCATTTTGCTTATTACATGTATCCTTCATAACTTGAATGATTTCAACAACACTTGAACGTCACATTTCCTCTAATACATTTCTACTTTCCTGAATAGTTGCTTTAGACTTGATGTCCTTTAGTGCTCTACAAGGCAATGAACTTGGCAATTAATAATGTCTTCAATGCAGCCTTGACCCAAAAAAACAATGACCTTCATGGAATGAAGCTCATGTTAACCCCTTGGAGATTGTCTAGGACCTGGACTGTGACCTCATGGAATGACCTTACACAAAATGACACTGACCTTGAATGTCTTGTCCAGTGACTTCACTGCAATGACCTTGACACTGAATGACACTCACCTTTGCTGTCTTATCCTGGGAGCCCGTGGCAATGAACTTGTCATTTGGTGCGACAGTTATGCAGTTGATATCCTTCTCATGGCCCCGCTCTGTGGCCCGACATGTGAGTTCCGTCAGCCCATCAGAGCTGAAAGCATCTTCTATTGGCCACAACTTCAGAGTGCTGTCTCGACCACCACTCACTATGAATGATGGGGATTTTCTACAAGGTCAAGCACATAACTGATATATCTGACAGTTTAGAAGCATTGTCACATATAAAAATCTTAAGAAAAGTAGCATGGGACAAGTAGAAAGGTTTGATATAAAATTATCATGGCTTTCCAGTAAACAGAAGTCATGCCCTCAAAATTTGCTTTCAGAATCTCCAGAAATATACTTGGAGGGATCTCAAGCTGATATATGAAATGATTAGGGTCACCACTTGACAGATGAACAGAAAAGGATCTCCAGCTGAGATCGAACAGAGAAGGATCTCCAGCTGAAATACAAATAGAGATGGATCTCCAGCTGAAATACGAATAGAGAAGGATCTCCAGCTGAAATACGAACAGAGATGGATCTCCAGCTGAAATACGAACAGAGAAGGATCTCCAGCTGAAATACAAACAGAGAAGGATCTCCAGCTGAAATACAAACAGAGAAGGATCTCCAGCTGAGATCGAACAGAGAAGGATCTCCAGCTGAAATACGAATAGAGATGGATCTCCAGCTGAAATACGAATAGAGAAGGATCTCCAGCTGAAATACGAACAGAGATGGATCTCCAGCTGAAATACGAACAGAGAAGGATCTCCAGCTGAAATACGAACAGAGAAGGATCTCCAGCTGAAATACGAACAGAGAAGGATCTCCAGCTGAGATACAAACAGAGAAGGATCTCCAGCCGAGATACGAACAGAGAAGGATCTCCAGCCGAGATACAAACAGAGAAGGATCTCCAGCCGAGATACGAACAGAGAAGGATCTCCAGCCGAGAACAGAAACATCTTGGATATGAAATGAGGATGTCCAGCTTAGACCAGAACAGAGAGGTAATCTCCAGCTTAAGTCTATTTTAAGAATGATCTCCAGTTTATCCACATGAACTCACCTGGAGAAGGCGACTGAACTGACAGCCTGGACGTGGCCATGACAGACAGCAACACAAAACAGACTCCCTGTCTCAGGCAGAAACTTCCACAGTCTCACTGTCGAGTCCTGGAACACACAACACATAGGTACTGCTCACACACAGGTATTGCTCACGTACATGCACTGCTCACACACATGTACTGCTCACGAACAGTTACTGTTCACACACATGCACTGCTCACACACAGTTACTGCTCACACACATGCACTGCTCACACACATGCACTGCTCACACACAGGTGCTGCTCACACACATGCACTGCTCACACACAGGCACTGCTCACACACACATGACACAGGTGCTGCTCACATACATGCACTGCTCACACACACTAATTGCTCACACGCAGGTATTGCTCACACATATGTTCCGCTCACACACAGGTGCTGCTCACACACATGTACTGCTCACACACAGGTATTGCTCACACACATGTACTGCTCACACACATGTACTGCTCACACACATGTACTGCTCACACACATGCACTGCTCACACACAGGTATTGCTCACACACATGTACTGCTCACACACAGGTACTGCTCACACACAGGTACTGCTCACACACAGGTATTGCTCACACACATGTACTACTCACACACAGGTGCTGCTCACACACATGTACTGCTCACACACAGGTATTGCTCACACACATGCACTGCTCACACACATGCACTACTCACACATGCACTTCTCACACACAGGTACTGCTCACACACATGTACTGCTCACACACAGGTACTGCTCACACACAGGTATTGCTCACACACATGTACTACTCACACACAGGTGCTGCTCACACACATGTACTGCTCACACACAGGTACTGCTCACACACAGGTATTGCTCACACACATGTACTACTCACACACAGGTGCTGCTCACACACAGGTACTGCTCACACACAGGTATTGCTCACACACATGTACTGCTCACACACATGCACTGCTCACACACATGCACTACTCACACATGCACTACTCACACACAGGTACTGCTCACTCACATGCACTGCTCACACACAAGCACTACTCACACATGCACTACTCACACACAGGTACTGATCACACACATGCACTGCTCACACACAGGTATTGCTCACACACAGGTGCTGCTCACAAACAGGCACTGCTCACATACATGCATTGCTCACACACATGACGTGCTCACACACATGCACTACTCACACACTGGTATTGCTCAAACACATGCACTGCTCACACACAGGCACTGCTCACACACAGGTATTGCTCAAACACATGCACTACTCACACACATGTACTGCTCACACACATGCACTGCTCACACACAGGCACTGCTCACACACAGGTATTGCTCAAACACATGCACTACTCACACACATGTACTGCTCACACACAGGTACTGCTCACAAACATGCACTGCACTTATCAACGAGACATAAAACTAAATACTTTGTGATATATCTGCAATTGGTTACCGGTATATCAGATATAAATTGAAGGATAGTTTGACCATGGAAACTTATCTGTCCCTTCGTCTACCTTACCTTGGAGCTGGTAGCCACAAGGCCTGTTTTAGCATAGACAGCCACAGCCAGCACAATGTCAGAGTGCCCCTCCACGATCTGACACGCCCACGTGCTCACATTGAACACCTTCAGCTTGGCACTGTTGCTTGCAACAACCAGGTGTGTGTCATCCTCGCCGACAAACTGCACATCCAGCACCTCGTCAGCACTGCCAGACAACTGAAACACAGCAAGGTTGCAAGAACTGGGCCCGCTAGGTGTCCTTGGCTAGCTCGCACAAAGTGGTATAAGCGCTAATACTTCTGTAATGCCTATACCTTAACATAGACTTACAATAGCCGTAGCACTAAGGTGTCCTGTCCTGGGGACCCATGATGGTGTGCTCCCTAATGTCCAGTCAAGCCCTGGTGTCCAGTCAAGCCCTGGTGTCCCGTCAAGCCCTGGTGTCCCGTCAAGCCCTGGTGTCCCGTCAAGCCCTAATGTCCAGTCAAGCCCTGGTGTCCAGTCAAGTCCTGGTGTCCCGTCAAGCCCTAATGTCCAGTCAAGCCCTGGTGTCCAGTCAAGCCCTGGTGTCCAGTCAAGCCCTGGTGTCCCGTCAAGCCCTGGTGTTCTGTCAAGCCCTGGTGTCCCGTCAAGCCTTGGTGTCCTGTCAAGCCCTGGTGTCCCGTCAAGCCCTGGTGTCCCGTCAAGCCCTGGTGTTCTGTCAAGCCCTGGTGTCCCGTCAAGCCCTTGTGTCCAGTCAAGCCCTGGTGTCCCGTCAAGCCCTGGTGTCCAGTCAAGCCCTGGTGTCCCGTCAAGCCCTGGTGTCCAGTCAAGCCCTGGTGTCCAGTCAAGCCCTGGTGTCCAGTCAAGCCCTGGTGTCCAGTCAAGCCCTGGTGTTCTGTCAAGCCCTGGTGTCCCGTCAAGCCTTGGTGTCCTGTCAAGCCCTGGTGTCCCGTCAAGCCCTGGTGTCCAGTCAAGCCCTGGTGTCCAGTCAAGCCCTGGTGTCCAGTCAAGCCCTGGTGTCCCGTCAAGCCCTGGTGTCCAGTCCCAGTGTCCTGACTTGTTGTTCTCCATGTGATCTCATTGACTGTACTCGCTCAGTCAACTTCACTTATTTCTCCGACAAAAATGTTCAATTCCATCTATAAAATCTTGTTTATGTAAATTTGTATGTATCTAGCTGGTTAGTGTGTGTCTGTCTGAGTGTGTGTGTGTGCGTGTCTGTGTGTGTGTGTAAGTGTGTGTGTGTGTGTGTTTAGCTGTTTATTACCAACTTGTTTACTTACTTGTTTGGAGACAGAAAGGTTTTGCTCATCATAAAAGATGATGTTCTGGTCGTATGTGACGATGACCACAGAGTCGATGGCTGGGACGTGTATGGCCTGCGTGACCACCTGGTCATCGTCTGCTTCATCTGCAGCGGTGGCAGTGATGGCTTCCTTCTTGTGCACACACCGTCCTGTCAGGGTGTTGATGACACGTATATTGCCTGCGGGACATCAAAGAATATACATCAGTTATTACATACAGTCTACATATCAGTTATTACACACACGCTTATATTAGATATTACACAAACACTAGTAACATCAGTTAATACACACAGACTAATATCAGTTATTACACACAAACTATACATCAATTATTTCACACAAACTACACATCAGTTATTACAAATTATACATCAGTTATTACACACAAACTATACATCAGTTATTGCACACAAGCTACATATCAGTTATTACACACCGACTACACATCAGTTATTACACACAGACTACACATCAGTTATTACACACAAACTACATATCAGTTATTACACACAAACTACATATCAGTTATTACACACAGACTACACATCAGTTATTACACACAGACTACACATCAGTTATTACACACAGACTACATATCAGTTATTACACACAGACTACACATCAGTTATTACACACAGATTACACATCAGTTATTACACACAGACTACACATCAGTTATTGCACACAGACTACATATCAGTTATTACACACAGATTACACATCAGTTATTACACACAGACTACACATCAGTTATTACACACCGACCATACATCAGTTATTACATACAGTCTACACATCAGTTATTACACACAGACTACACATCAGTTATAACACACCGACCATACATCAGTTATTACACACAGACTACACATCAGTTATTACACACAGACTACACATCAGTTATTACACACCGACTACACATCAGTTATTACACACCGACTACACATCAGTTATTACACACCGACTACACATCAGTTATAACACACCGACTACACAGCAACTACTTGGTTGACCACTGGAACAAATTCTAGTGAGCAAACAAGGTTTGTTTCCTGCATATTGAACACAATCAATAACATGCAAGCAACATACATGAAACTGTCTGTTTATTAAGGAAGTGAAAGTGTCACAGGTTCCTGCTTGGTTAGTTCTTGATCAGTATACTACTCAACTTCTGATAGGGACATTTTTAATGTTTCCATGATACATAAACTGATTCTCCTCTCAAGTGTCATCTTCCCGAGGCAAGGGAGTTAACTGACTATAAAAGTCCAGTTTCCACCTTTGCCGAACTAGGCTGGTATTATGGAGTTACATTTTAGCTGGACTAACGAGTCTATGCATAGTCCAATCAAAATCGCTCACTGAAATCGAAATCCGGTGCGTAAAGTGTCATGCAGATTTCGGTCGACTGCAGGATTTGCAAAGCCTGTGCACCGCTAACTCGTTGTCAACAGATATTTTCTAAATCTTTTCATGCTTTTAATCAAGATTTGATGCACTTCGCGATGTAAGACTCATTTTATCACAATATAGATCTTGATTATCAATCAGATCGTCTTGACTTGGCGCCACCGTTTTGTTTGAAGCAAATGCAGGTGATACGAGAAGTTGAATCTGATTGGTCAATAGGAGAGGCATAGAAAGGACATAACTCGTAATAGCCACTGGTGGCGCTACGATCGAGCCCAGGGATTCCAGCCAAGTTGGGCAAGGGTGGAAACTGGACATTTAAAGTCAGTTAACTCTCTTGCCTCGGGAAGATGCTAAAGTGTATACAGTCAAGTCCTGTTAATCCGACATTGTTGGTTGCATATGATTATGTCGGATTAACGAGTATGTCGGATAAACGAAATTAGGTAGTATAAACGTTCGTGATCGAAAATTGGACAACTACACAATAGATAACAATACGAACACGTAGGAAAAGGAAAAATGAAATATTCATATTGTTGTGTTACATTGTCAGCGGAATATGTTTTCTAATCATGCAACCACTAAAGTTTAACACAAAACAACTGTTACGGACTGTATGACTGATTCAAAATTGACTGATTTTTAAAGCATAGTCTGGAATGGAAGTCGCTAATTTGAAACTGGTGCCGCAATGCAATGCTTTCTTAGTGGCTAATGTCGACTTCCTGTTTCTAATTTCATTGGTCGGTCAAAGTTCGCGAAAGGTCGTTCTGACGTGACCTGTATTGGGATGTCCACAGTGGTAGCGAGAACTTGTATCCGATTTTAATGAGATTGAGGTAATCTAGGCATGTGATTAATCTTGTTTTGTATATTTAAAGCAGCAATTGTTTATTGTTAAGCAAGTTTATCTCTGCAGCCGTTGAAATATGCAGCTTCTCGCCGACTCATCTCGCATCAAAACACGGGGCTGTGTACTCGCGGGCAGATGACCACGGAGTACGCTGATCACTGTGTCGGATTACAGAGACTGATTAATAAGTGATTTCAGCATTTCATTGCAAATTAGGTGTGTCGGAGTCGGAGTGCGAGACTGTCGGATTAACGGGTCTAAATAGCACTGATTAAAACGGTTCCCATCATTTGTGTTGGATAAAGCTAATTGTCGGATAAAGCTAATTGTCGGATTAACGAGACTTGACTGTATTTAAACAGAATTATCCCTATCAAAAGTTGAGCAGTATAAGTTATTCCCAAGTGAAGTCAGTTATCAGGAAACAATATCTTCTTTAATATGTCCGTGTAGGTATTAGGTCAACAATGCCCCTCTTTGAGTTCAAAATAGAGAATATATACAATGTCATCTGTATTTTAGAAAGCTGTGTCATGTCATAATGTATAATTATGTTACCCAAGTAACAGAGTGATGAGAACGCAGAACTGACACAGGTAAGATGTCTGAAACATCTGGACCCACCAGTGAATAATAAATATGTCACATGACTTCATGAGTACATCTCACCTTTACTGCTGGCTACAAGGACATGCGGACAGTCTGGAGATGGAAGGTCAAGGTCACTATAGTCCCGGTCATCCCGCAGCAGCATCACAGACTCCACACTCTGCACAGGTCAAGCCACAGGTCAAAGTTCATGTCAGCGCACAGGTCAAAGCGCGTTTCAAGGCACATATCAAGGCACATATCAAGGCACATATCAAGGCACATGTCAAGGCACAAAACAAGACACAGATCAAAGCACATGTCAGGGCACAGATCAAGGAACAAGTCAGGCCACAGATCAAGGCACAAGTCAGGCCACAGATCAAGGAACAAGTCAGGCCACAGATCAAGGAACAAGTCAGGCCACAGATCAAGGAACAAGTCAGGCCACAGATCAAGGAACAAGTCAGGCCACAGATCAAGGAACAAGTCAGGCCACAGATCAAGGAACAAGTCAGGCCACAGATCAAGGCATGTGTCATGCCACAGAACAAGCCACATATCAAATCACAGATCAAGGCACGTGTCAGGCCACAGATCAAGGAACAAGTCAGGCCACAGATCAAGGAACAAGTCAGGCCACAGATCAAGGCACAGGTCAAAGTTCATGTCAGCGCACAGGTCAAAGCGCGTTTCAAGGCACATATCAAGGCACATATCAAGGCACATATCAAGGCACATGTCAAGGCACAAAACAAGACACAGATCAAAGCACATGTCAGGGCACAGATCAAGGAACAAGTCAGGCCACAGATCAAGGCACAAGTCAGGCCACAGATCAAGGAACAAGTCAGGCCACAGATCAAGGAACAAGTCAGGCCACAGATCAAGGAACAAGTCAGGCCACAGATCAAGGAACAAGTCAGGCCACAGATCAAGGAACAAGTCAGGCCACAGACTCCACACTCTGCACAGGTCAAGCCACAGGTCAAAGTTCATGTCAGCGCACAGGTCAAAGCGCGTTTCAAGGCACATATCAAGGCACAGATCAAGGAACAAGTCAGGCCACAGATCAAGGAACAAGTCAGGCCACAGATCAAGGAACAAGTCAGGCCACAGATCAAGGAACAAGTCAGGCCACAGATCAAGGAACAAGTCAGGCCACAGATCAAGGCATGTGTCATGCCACAGAACAAGCCACATATCAAATCACAGATCAAGGCACGTGTCAGGCCACAGATCAAGGAACAAGTCAGGCCACAGATCAAGGAACAAGTCAGGCCACAGATCAAGGCACAAGTCAGGCCACAGATCAAGGAACAAGTCAGGCCACAGATCAAGGAACATGTCAGGGCACAGATCAAGGAACAAGTCAGGCCACAGATCAAGGCACAAGTCAGGCCACAGATCAAGGAACAAGTCAGGCCACAGATCAAGGAACAAGTCAGGCCACAGATCAAGGAACAAGTCAGGCCACAGATCAAGGAACAAGTCAGGCCACAGATCAAGGAACAAGTCAGGCCACAGACTCCACACTCTGCACAGGTCATGCCACAGAACAAGCCACATATCAAATCACAGATCAAGGCACGTGTCAGGCCACAGATCAAGGAACAAGTCAGGCCACAGATCAAGGAACAAGTCAGGCCACAGATCAAGGCATGTGTCAGGCCACAGAACAAGCCACATATCAAATCACAGATCAAAGCACATGTCAGGGCACAGATCAAGGAACAAGTCAGGCCACAGATCAAGGCATGTGTCAGGCCACAGATCAAGGCACAAGTCCGGCCACCGATCAAGGCACATGTCAAGGCACACATCAGGCCACAGATCAAGGTCAAACTTCCTAAAAAAAGAACAGTATGAGAGAGGAATAATAAGGATGTAGCAAGTCCTCTCTCACAATAAAACAACATATATGACCAAGACAGACAACACATTTTGCCTGTTATACCAGTCATCATTCTGTATAGTCACAGGGTTCATACACTGACAGATTCAGTGTCATTCCAACTTAAAAATAATAGGTATTTTAAGTATGAATTAATTATTCTAGAGTTAGACAACCTCAAATTTCAAAACACAGCAGGTTTATCTCCTAATTAGCCTGACAAGTTTCCATGACATATCCATGTTTTTTGGGAGTATTATGCCAGCTCTCCATGATATTATTTCAATACAAATCACACTGCAAAAGAAGTCCCAAGATCTTGTTCCTGCAGTACTACAACCTGCATGAATAGTAATAAGCTGTGAGGGGAGGTGTTAACATGGATGTCAGTCTATTGTTGAGTTTGATTTATTTTCCTGTCACTGATATATCACCCAACAGAATTTCTGGTACGATATTTTTACTTCTTTTACAAGATTTTACAACACTTTTCTATTTTTCAAACTTATTCCACACCTGAGAAACTCACACTACCCGGATTCCATGACCCGAATCCACCCTGTACAAACAGACTGGAGATCCCAGACAGGTGTGCACAGGTCAGGACGCTAAGGTTGTAAGAGTTGCCTCCCTTACACTGAAACACTTTTACCATTGCAAACCCATGACAAAAGGAACATTCATTTTCATTGTTTCCTCTTTGCAATCCCACCATGCCTTGTTTAAACACAATACTGAGTTTGCAATTAAAAATGAAATTAAAAAGTCAGTGGTTGATCCCTAAGACATGTCACACCAAGAAACATTAAAAGATGGTACTTGGTATAAAATGGTACTCAGCATTAAGGGATAAAACAAGGACTGGTCGGCTTGGCGGCAGTATACTGTGTGTGAGTGGGGTATCCATGTTAAACTGCAGCATGGTATCTCAGTGGGTTAGCACTATAAAACCGGCATTAGTCCAGACTAGAACAAGCGCCAACACCCAAATCCTCCAACACACTCAATCACTATATACGTGCAAAAATCTTGAATGCGACCTTAAACCCCACTTCTCCTCACCTCACTCCACATTCGAATACTATTGGAGCAAACATCAAGGAATGCCACAGTCACAAATCCCCTTATAAATTCGCTTTTATACATACCTCAAACACTGGCAACGTCCTCCTGACTGCCAATTTCTCCATGTCCCACACAACCAAGATGCTGTCACGACCACCACTGAAACACACATGACGTTGTAGGATATTATTCATAACAGTGACTGCAGTCATGTACATGGCTTTCTGCCATGCCCAGACAAGCTGATGCACCCTTGACGATGCAGGGTACAAAAGGTCTTCAGCAACCCATGCATGTCGTAAAAGGTAACTATGCTTGTCGTAAGAGGCGACTAACAGGATCGGGTGGTCAGGCTCTCTGACTTGGTTGAAGCATGTCATCATATCCCAATTGCATGGATAGATGCTCATGATGTCAATCACTTGATTGTCTGGTGCAGACTTGACTATTTACAGACAGCCGTCATATAGCTGGAATATTGCTGAGTGCAGCGTTCAACAAAAAACAAACAAAGATAAGCTAATGGTGGCTGAGTAGGTCCTACCTGTACATGGCTGTGCCATCAGCGGAGAAGACGAGGCTGGTGATAAGGCTGTAGTGACTGTCCATGATGGCAACACAAGAACTGGTCACCAGGTCCCACACACGGACCTTGTAGTCGTCAGCTGCCGAAACCAGCTGGACTTGAGATGACTCCGGCCGGAATGCCATCACACTGTAACACAGAGAACAATGTATCTACATCACACTTCAACACAGGGAAAATTCCAGTCTCCAGTTTGGGGCTCTATCCACTACACCACAGAACCATAAACCACCAACGCAAGTATTATCCTGAAACTTCTACAGCCTTATCTAGCTGAATATCAGTCATAGCACACTATTCTATCCAATTCAACATACAGAGGTTGACTTAATTGTTTACGTGAGTAATATATATGAAAAATAAATAACTGACTGAGGAACCGTGGAGTATGTGATATGACTGATGTTTGTGAAACTACTGCTGTCTTGAATACATGACACATTTTATGGACAGCAACTTCTCTTAATCTTTGTCACGACGTTTCTAGCTCCTTCTTGCTACTTCTAGCTCCTTCATCAGGTGAACTTCTTTTATTCTTTGTCACGACGCTTCAGTATAGGATAAAGCACGCCTCCAGGGTTTTAGTTAAAAATGTAAAACTGTGAGCGAGGGAAAGCCTGAGGATGTGTGTTTTATTCAACTTATGAACCGACTAAATGCAAGAAAAACCAGAACAAGTATTTGTCACAGAGTGACGAAATATCCCCCTCCTGTACACCATAGTACCAAATATGAAGACAATCCAGCGATTAGTTCTTGAGATATTGTGGCAACACCGTTTTCCAACTCCAAAAACAGATTTGCCTGCTGTGACCTTGAAAATGGGGTCAAGGTCACCAAATCTGACAGGTGTATGCGGTGTCTGTATATACACTATAGTTCCAAATATGAAGACAATCCAGTGTTTAGTTCTTGAGATATCGCGGCAACACCGTTTTCCAACTCCAAAAGCAGATTTGCCTTCTGTGACCTTTAAAATGGGATCAAGGTCACCAAAACCGACTGGTGTCTGCGGAGTCTGTATATACACCATAGTTCCAAATATGAAGACAATCCAGTGTTTAGTTCTTGAGATATCGCGGCAACACCGTTTTCCAACTCTAAAAGCAGATTTGTCTGCTGTGACCTTGAAAATGGGATCAAGGTCACCAAAACCGACTGGTGTCTGCGGTGTCTGTATATACACCATAGTTCCAAATATGAAGACAATCCAGTGTTTAGTTCTTGAGATATCGCGGCAACACCGTTTTCCAACTCTAAAAGCAGATTTGTCTGCTGTGACCTTGAAAATGGGATCAAGGTCACCAAAACCGACTGGTGTCTGCGGAGTCTGTATATACACCATAGTTCCAAATATGAAGACAATCCAGTGTTTAGTTCTTGAGATATCGCGGCAACACCGTTTTCCAACTCCAAAAGCAGATATGCCTTCTGTGACCTTGAAAATGGGGTCAAGGTCACCAAAACCGACTGGTGTCTGCGGAGTCTGTATATACACCATAGTTCCAAATATGAAGACAATCCAGTGTTTAGTTCTTGAGATATCGCGGCAACAAACAGGTGGGACGTACGGACGTACGTACGGACGGACGGACGTACGTGAATACTATATCCCCCGCTTCGCGCTTTCGCGCGGCGGGGGATAAAAAATAAGAAAACATTGATATACCTTTTAGTGAAACAATACAGTGTATCGCAGTATAAAAGGAATTCCATCAAACCATGTGCAGCATGGACTAGCTGGAGTCATGACATAAACAATAAACAACCTAACAACTTCTCATCACATGCAGCTCAGTGGAAAACAGTGGGTTAAAATTTGTTTACAAGATAAAAGGTTACAGGTTCGATTCATGTCATGGAATTTTCACGTTAAAAACAATTGTGACTTATAACCAATCATCAAACACAATTGTGTTCTCACCAAGAGCCAAGTTAACGAAACGTTAATTGTAAAACAAAGGTATTGCAATTGAAATTTACTCAGGTCCTGGGAATTCCCCTGGAAAGCCTCAGGCATTACACAGGAACGCCTCAGGCATTACACAGTAACTCCCCGGGCATAGTTGATACTGCCTGTCTTGGAAGTAAATCAACATTTAGAAGAACATTGTGTTATTGTTGTGTGACATCATCAGAGGCATATAAGAGCTACTCCTTCCTCTTTCATCTGAAGAAGGGTCAAAAAGTAGCTCTGAAACATCGTGTCAAAAAATAATCAAAGTTGCTATCCATAAAAGGGTCATGTATTCATGTTCTCCCGACTTTACTGCTGCCTTGGTACCTGATCACGCCCTGGTGGCCCTTGAAGTTGTGAGTGCAGTACTGCTCCACGACGTCCCACACCTTGATGGTGGCATCACTGCCCCCTGTAGCCAGCAGAGTGGACGTCCCGTCAAACAGCATGCTAGACACTGGACCAGTGTGGACAGCCTGAAACAACACTCCATCTATCAGTCAGTAGATGCAGAACAATATCCCTCATCCCAATAGAAGATACAGGTCATTATTCCCTCATCTATCAGGGTCAACTGTCAGTAGTCGCTCATCCCATCAGTAGATACAGACAATAGTCCCTCATCCCATCAGTAGATCAGACAACAGTCCCTCATCCCATCAGTAGATACAGACAATAGTCCCTCATCCCATCAGTAGATCAGACAATAGTCCCTCATCCCATCAGTAGATCAGACAATAGTCCCTCATCCCATCAGTAGATCAGACAATAGTCCCTCATCCCATCAGTAGATCAGACAATAGTCCTTCATCCCATCAGTAGATACAGACAATAGTCCCTCGTCCCATCAGTAGATCAGACAATAGTCCCTCATCCAATCAGTAGATCAGACAATAGTCCCTCATCCCATCAGTAGATACAGACAATAGTCCCTCGTCCCATCAGTAGATACAGACAATAGTCCCTCGTCCCATCAGTAGATACAGACAATAGTCCCTCGTCCCATCAGTAGATACAGACAACAGTCCCTCATCCCATCAGTAGATACAGACAATAGTCCCTCATCCCATCAGTAGATACAGACAATAGTCCCTCATCCCATCAGTAGATACAGACAACAGTCCCTCATCCCATCAGTAGATAGACAACAGTCCCTCATCCCATCAGTAGATACAGACAACAGTCCCTCATCCCATCAGTAGACACAGCCAGAAGATACAGGACAATATTCACTCATCTATGACAGTGGGGGACATCAGAAATGGGCTTCACACACTGTACTCATGTGAAGAATCGAACCTGAGCCTTTTGTGTGGAGATCAAACACTTTAACCACTAGGCTACCCAACCGCCCCACAGAAATTATGAATTTGGGATAATTTACAAACTCTGATAAAAAAATGTGGTGGTTAGACTACATCCTTGTTGGTCTTTCACTGCTTACCCTCCATGTCCGGACGAGCATCCCCGCCTGCCAGTCCCACTGTCGCAGCAGCAGCGTCCGAGTAACCAGGACCAGATGCTGAAACAGAGGCCACAACAATGATGGAACAGTCACTGCAGCGAACACATAGAAACTAGTCTCATCCATACTCTGTTAGTGTGTTTACATGCTGTTTAAAAAACAACTTTAATGCCGAATTAAGCAGTATTCCAGCCATGTGATGAGTCAGTCTGTAAATAATCGAGTCCGGGCCAGATAAACCACTGATTGATATTATGAACAACGATCAACATGTCACGTTATAATGACATGGAATCAACAAAGTCACTGAATCTTCCCACTCCATCAGGTTGCCTTTAACAACAAGCATGGGTTGCTGGAGACCAATTAAAAGCGGGAGTCCCTTGGGCCTGGAGAGCCCCCTTACTTCACATTCAGCACACACACAGGGCATTATAGCAACACCGACTTATGTTCTTAGGATTCAATAGATGAGTCAAGTCTGTGCACTTTTAGTCCCAAAACAATTGCGAGCTAAGGAAGAGAAGTTATGGATGTCAACTTCTTTATTATGAGACCTACTTCAAACAATCATGTATTTCCATGACAGTACAAAGTACAGTCCACCGATTCCTACCTGTAACCATTCTGTAACCTTGAAACAATCATCACCACGGGAACCAGGAACAGACACCATTGGTTATATCAAACTAGACTACAGTTTTAGACAAGTGGTTTATAAAAAATAGCTGGATTTCCACTTGTCTAACTAGTCAGGATAATGGACAAGCGTTCGCCCCCACTGACCCCCTCAAGTGTCTCAATATGTTACCTAATAAGTGAAGCATGTCAAATCTCACCTTATCATCAGGTGATACACAGAAGCTGGAGACCTCCTCGTCCTCATCCTGGTGAATAGATTCATCTCATAAGCAGTGTTCGAAATGGTGACCAAATGTATAGCCTACCCATCTTCAAAGTTACCTGCCCGCATTCAGACATCATAAATATTGAAAAATCACAAAAACTAAGAGATAAATCCCTTCCAGCTATATGATGGCGGTCTGTAAATAATCGAGTCTGGACCAGACAATTCAGTGATTGACATCATCAGCATCGATCCTCGCAATTACGATACAGTGACTTGCATCAACCAAGTCAGCGAGCCTGACCAGCCAATCCTGTTGGTTGCCTCTTACGACAAGCGTAGTTGCCTCTTATGGCAAGCATGGGTTGCTGACTACCTATTCTACCCCGGATCGTCACGGGACGAATAAGTTAGTAGTTTTTAAATTGTCTGCCAAACAGTGAGTGTGTATGGTTTTACGCCGCTTTTAGCAATATTCCAGCAATATCACGGCGGGGAACACCAGAAATGGGCTTCACACATTGTACCCATGCCGGGAATCGAACCCAGGTCTTCGGCATGACGAGTGAACGCTTTAACCACTAGGCCACCCAACCGCCCCTCTGCCAAACAGCCGGGCAGGTGGAGGAAAATTTGATGCAACCCGACAGAAAAGTTACCAGCCATGGACAAGCAGTTATTTCGGACACTGCTCATAAGTGTTAGAATATGCATACGAGTGAATGGCATATAATTGCATGCTTAACATTGATCAGGATTTCATTGAATGTCCCCTGACTCAACATAATCTGTTAACATGTGGGAGGAAAGCCAAATTGCACAGCTTGGTGATGTTTTACACCTGGGTGAACAAGGGTGAATCCCCATCCAAACTTGTATGGTGTTGACAGGCTAAGGCTCATAGTCGGGGATTGTACCAGCAGATCCTGGAACTCACATGGGACTTAACTCATCCTGAAACAAATACAGAATAATATGGAAAAAGCTGTGCCCCACTTCCATGTAACTCACCTGTCCAATAGTTTTGACAACTTTGCCGGTCTCAGTTTCCAGTATCGTTACCTTGGAGCTACAAGGACAGAACAGGTGCTTGCCGTCATTGCTCACCTGTCAACACAAACACTCCCCATAAATAAAAAAACAAAAACAAAGTGAGTGAGTGAGTATGGTTTTAGGCCGCTTTTAGCAATATTCCAGCAATATCACGGCGGGGGACACCAGAAATGGGCTTCACACATTGTACCCATGTCGGGAATCGAACCCGGGTCTTCTGCGTGCGTGACGCTTTAACCACTAGGCTACCCGACCGCCCCTCACACAACAAAGGAAACATGGACTGGAACACCACCTAGAGATCAGTGTTTAATGGTGGATGTGGTGAAATATACTGAAAAGTCGTAAAATATATTTCATCACAATGACCTCAATAAAAACTATCTTCAGAAAATAAGAGAGTGAGTTGGGTTTAATGCAACTCTTAACAGTATTCCAGTTATATCACGGTGTGTCAGCTTAATTTGCGAGGAAAGCCCGAAATGATGCAGGTCTCAGATGTTTACCACTTCAGTGAAACCAACGGGCATGGTATGGACAAACCTAGAAACAAAATCGGGACAACTAGGATTCGAACCCAAAATCATTGGTTTCTGGCGTGCCAAGGGGACACAACTCTGCACAGCAAATCGCGGCGTCTTAGACAACTGGGCCACTTGTGCCCCCTACTACTTAAATAGATAAGAGAACCATTTGACATGACACTTGTCAGATGATACACCTATGACAGTACATCATCACAACCGTTTATGGATGTACAGTTAATAGAACTGTTTTTTTGTTGTTTAACACCACACTCAGCAAAATTCCAGCTATATGAGGATGGTCTGAAAATAATCGAGTCTGGACTAGACATTCCAGTGATTGATATAATGAGCATCAATCCACATAATTGGGATACAATGACATGCATCAACCAAGTCAGCAAGTCTGACCACCCGATCCCGTTAGTCGCCTCTTATGGCAAGCATGGGTTGCTGACGACCTATTCAGATTCTACCCCGGATCTTCACAGGTCTCGATACAGTCTTACTCAGATGGATTGATAGCATGTATAAACAAATCACACCAATGGCAAGATTAGGGTATGTTGACACTGGTCTCACTATATAGGTGTTTGGTTTTAATCATATTCAGGGCCCCATCTGTCCATATGAGAAAGAGGGCATGGCCAAATGAGTTGATATGGAACTACAGCTAGCCATGTATATATCATGGTTTTAACCTGTTGTGGTAGAATTAGCATAGCTTACTTTTACAAACACTATGAAAAATATTTGGGATTTCAACACGGCAGCTAGTGTTATAGTTCAAGATGACACTTTCCAATCTCATGTCCTGTACTACATGTTGTTTTACTTAACATTGAGGTGTTTCGTGTATGGTTTTGTTAATGGTACAAAGTGAAACATCATACAGATCTACATCTAACTTCAACTCACCTGTATCCGACCGCCAGTGTAGAATGCTTCGTATTTACTCACAATAGACAAACTGTAGAAACAAAAACACCAGATGATTCATCAGTAACAAAATTACTTATTAGATTGTTGTGTTTCTAAATATGCCACTGGTCTTTCATAGGGTATTTTGACCATAGCAATATGGATTCTGTGTCACCAGCTTGTCACTGACGGAGATATATATACTTGTTAAAATAATAGGACACGTTAGTACTAGATTCACGTGTATTGTGGCAGAAACAGTCTCTGCAGTTGATCGAGGGGCGAAAGAATACATCACAACCTGATAACAGTGGCATTACAGCTGATGATCGAAAACTGAACATGCAGGGCACAGTAGTCGTAGATTCAATTACCAAGACTATTTTAAAGAATACATCAGTTGAAAAAGTGACAAACTTACTTCGATTTTAACACGTTCATTGCTACAAATGAACTTCACAACATCCACGAATACAGAAACGATAACAAGTCACATCATATTCCGATACACAATTTATAAACACGTGGGATAGACACTTCCGGTTATCTAAACTCCTTACAGGGTTCAGCGCTGTAAGCGGTGTGCGGAGATGTACACGCACATTCGTCACCCAAGCTCCATCTTGTCCAGGCTGTCTTGGCCATTTTTTTACTCAACTTGAAAAACATTGCAGCAGAATTTATTTCACCACAATGTATTTCTACAAGGTCCCTAAAACAACATACTAAGAGTCCCAAGCAATCCTAGTTTGGGAAACATGTCTAATTTGCGCTGACCCCGGTATAAGGATCTATACCGAAACGTCCCCTTTACAGCAAATAAAGAAGTTGTGTCTACTTTGTCATCCGTGAACTCCTGAGGACCTTAACAAAACCTGTCAAACAACATCAGTCACTGAAGCGTACGTAAACTGTCTTGCAGAAAGTGGCTAAAAGGGTGGAAAATGTCGCTCTCTTATTATTGTGATATGAAATGTCTTCTTGAAATGCTGGAATTCTTGGTCTTTAAAAATGTGTTTAAAAATTTCTCTCAATAGACTATATCCATATGTAGGTGGAAATGTGACGGTGCCAAATCTGGCGAATAAGGAAGATATTCTATTAGTTCAAAGTCACATCCATGAATTTCATCCATGGCGACAACAGACTTGTTCACAGCTGCATTGTCCTGGTCGAACAGCACACTTTATGGAGTCGTCCACAACGTTTAGCCTTGATATTATCACCCAGTTGCCCAAGAGGATTAGTATCATATTGGCCATTAATAGTCTGACCTTTAGGAGGTAGTCCCACAGGTTTTCGAGAAAACCGAGGTCACCTGCACCTTGCCAGCAGATGTAAGACTTTACCTTCCTCGGAGGAGGAGACGTTAAATGTTTCCACAGCTTTGACTGTTGTTCAGACTCTGGCCGATAATGGCTCATCCATGGTTAAATTGCTCAACATTATCAGCTGGTTCTGCTACAGAACGACGTAACTTATCACGAAAAAACGTGAAGGTTTTGGGTAGAATAGGTTTTCAGCAACCCATACTTGCCGTAAGAGGCGACTATGCTTGTAAGAGGCGACTAACGTGATCGAGTCTGGACCAGACAATCCAGTGATTGGCATTATGAGCACCGATCCACGCAGTTGGGATACGATGACATGCATCAACCAAGTCAGCAACCCTGACCACCCGATCCCGTTAGTCGCATCTCACAAGCAGAGTTGCCTCTTACGACAAGCATGGGCTGCTGAAGACCTATTCTCAACCTGGATCTTCACCGATCAGAATTGTGGTCTTGTCAACAGATTGAGTCCTTTTGTGGTTCCCACAATAATCGCCTCAGTTGTTCATCAAACATGAATACTGTTCCATAGCTTCATATTGGCGGTTAATATGCGAATAAAACACATTAAGTTACCTGCGGAGGAGGTCCTATTTATTCCCACTAGGCACATTACGAAATGCACATGTATCCTGTGCTTGTTCTCTGTCCCCGTTGGTTCAATACTGTTTATGACGTCTAATACGAATGCATGTGTCGTCGCCATGTTGGTTTCAAATGCGAGGTCAAAACTACTTTAGTAGAGCCCTTGGACTTTTGTATACTAGTATATGTAGGGTGATTTTACGACTCAGAGTAACCAAGGAGGGCTGTGTGAAACGTTCTTAAAAGTTATAATGAAGTTTACCACGCGGTTTAGAGGCTTTCGTGAGTGACACCCTCTGGTACACACACATTTCGAATTGTTTTGGGTGATCGCATTTACTAAGTGTAAAGGTACATCAACATTATGACTAACTCAATAAAAACACAAGCAGCATATACACCAGACGTAATACCTTCATGCCTCTAACACTGGATATATTATTAATAACTTGTTATTCCAAACTGAACCATCCTTGTGGGTGTATCCGCCATTGAGCACATTGAGCTGAAGAATACCGCCCATGTGAGGACAACACGTGATATACCTCCATGTTGCAGCATAGGATCATGGTATTCTCATGATATGGTGTAGTCAAGTCAAAAAGGGTTAAAACTGGAATATCATGCACATTGTCTACTGTATGCAACGCTACACACACAGTACCTCATAAATATCCCAACTATAGACAACAAAAACACACGGGAAGTGATTTATTTGTTTGAATACACAATGCCATTTAGGAAGTGATGAAATGTAACAAATGTTTTATTTTGGATAACACATTCTTAGTAAAGTACAGATTCTGGTTATTTTGTGTGTTGAGTCACATCAGGGATTCGAACCCACACTCCAAACTCAGGCGAATCACTCTGGGGAGTGTGGGTTCGAAACCCGGATGGAACCCAGCCCCCCCAAAGTACTAGAATCTGTAGTTTAGTTAGAAACTGTTATCCTAAATATAACATATGGGATTTATTTGTAGCTATTTTGTATCAGGCTGCATCGATTATTTACAGGCTGTCGCCCCAGAACTCATTGCTGACTGTGTCATTACACAATCCAACCCGCGACTACCCAGTGTAGACCAGCCTGGTACAGTTAGCTGGATAAACGCCCTTGCCTGGTGTACACTGTCGTCTGCAGATCAGGTCACTGGAGCTTGCACGGCCGTGTAACACTTCCACAAGTCTAGCCACTGAACAAACACGTCTAAACTTCCACATGTCTAGCCAGTAAACAAACAAGTCTATACGTCAGCGGATCTAGCCTCGAAATCCAGAATACCTAAACCCCTCAAGTTTCCGGCCCCCGTCTCCTTGACATTCTCACCCAACCCTTTATCCTTCACTTCTTACCCGGCACGCATCTCAAACCATTTTTTATCAATAAAGTTCCGTTCGGAATGCAAAGGATTGCAGTGGCGTCATGTCACTAGACCAACATTTAGTCTCGGAAATGAAAACATTTGAAGATTTTTTTGGTTAATTTTTCATCTTAATCCTTATAATACAAAGGAGCCTAGAGCAGTTCTTGTTTCAAAAGTCTAGACTTGAGCACATACTGCAGACAGTAGGTGACTATCTTGACATACTTTTATTGTTAACCCTGCATGAATGTCGTCTATCTTCACATGTAGATGTGCTGGCTGGGAGATAGGTAATCGCCATGTCGTTATATATATGTACACCCGTAGCGTGTTATGCTGCCTCAGCAAATGTGACTATCACGAAAGTCACATTCAGAGACGCTAGCAAAATCAATTTTGCTATTCAAATACTTGTAGCATTTTCATATATAAGTCTACTATTGCAACACCAAATAACTACCGGTCGACCAACATGGGGTTTGAACAACGAGTACATATGCATTTCATAGTTATTATATTCTGTGTGCAATTTCACCCTAGAAATGTTCGCGCTGAACAAACAATACTTCAGAATTATGCAATGTTCCCCAAAACAAGTCAGTGAATATTAATTATCCTAAAATAATATTGGTTTGATCATACATTTGTTTTATCAATTCCGCTCCCATTCTGCATGACACACGTTAAGCTATAACTCAAGGAGCTGTTGTTACCTGGGTGACATTTGAACCTATCAGATGATACGGGACAGGTGTTATTGATGTGACGTTAGTATAGCTTGTTTCACATAATATGTCACAAAACGATTTTCTTGCTAAGTTTATCGTCATATTATTGGCAATCGTACGTTCTAAGAATAACCACAGTTTCAGTTAGAAAAAAAATAGATTATCATTTTATATCCATAGGAAGTCAGGAATGCATTTTTTCTAACATATCCGACAGCACTTCAGTTTCTATGTTATGCTGAGTCACGGGATTAACATGGGCTCCATACGAAATACGCAATTGGACTTCATATAATATAAACTGTGCATTAGGGCAACCGTAAATCTAAATGTGTAATTAATGCAGCTGTGGTTCAGACAATCTGGTGTGATAGTAGTTTGATCTTGGATTCACGGAATCTAGTGTGACAATTAGCCAAAAGGTCACATCACATCCGGTCGGGGGTCAAAGGCAGGTGTGATAATGAACTGATAATGGACAGGACACTGACTGTGTCTGCATCTCCACATCAGGGTCGGTGCTGGCAGAGTACAGACAGGTGTAACCGTCGTCCACGATGCACCTGATGAACTGCTCCAACCGGGCGGTTGGGGAGGGGCTACTGGAGGGGCAAGACTTGTCCCACCAGAGGGTGTGTCACCGGGAATGGCCACGCCTCGGTATGCTGGTAGGGACACTGATCCTGGCGACGGTGCTGCTCCTCTGCTTCAGCCCAGCCGTACGGTCCCTCCTTTATTTGGACTACCCCTACCAACCAGACCCCCCTGCGTCAACATACCGCCCCCCTGGATCACAAGAGGACACTGGTCGATATCAGCGTGAAGCCCTTGAATGGGTTGGCAGGGAGTCGGAACAGTGTGATGTAACGCCATCCACCCGCCTGGACTGCCACCCCGAGAGGAACCTGTCACACTCAACCTGCCAGAGTCGGGGGTGTTGTTGGAATCAGGGGGATGGGCTGTCACCGCCATGCTTCTTCCCTGCTAACTACCCCAGATATACAATAGTGCACAAGCAGAACACCGGGTCGATGACCACAATGGAGCTCTACCGCAACGCCACTACTCACTACCCAAAGGATGTCCACAAGCTCACTGTGTCTATCGTCCACCTGTCCGCTACAGCTCTTAGGATACGGGTGAGCCAGATTCCCACTTGGATGAAAGGAATTTTAGTTGGTGGTTGTTTTATGCCGCACTCAGCTGTATGATTGCTGCCTGTAAATAATCGAATCTGGACCAGACAAACCAGTGATGTGTGTCATGAGCAACGTCCAACGCCATATGGGTACGATGACACATAACCAGTCACCGAACTTGACCATCTGAGCTGTTTAGTCATCAATTATAGCCCGGAATCGCCACGAAGGTATTTCGGCGCAGTGGTAATTTTGAACCCTATTGTATATGCCAAAATATACATCCATCATCTGTCATATGTATTTGTGGTATATTTAAGATAACCGACGCTACATCCAAGAGGTGGGAGGTGCCCATCAACGGTTCTAGCTTCAACGTCCGGACGCCTGACACAACGGCAGGCGCCAATGGCGTCCAAACGCCACAAACTCAACAGTCTGAGATGCCAGACACAGACAAAGACCTCTACATTGTAGACACACCAGGTCCACAGGAACCATTTGCGTTCAACATCCAGAGGAAGAGTTCTGGAGCTTCAATGTATGCTAAATGCTTGTCCCATCACATTCCAATCTGTCCACACATCTTTATATCCACGGGTGTCCAATCGTCTAAGGCGCCGCAATTCTCTGTGCAGAGTTGCGTCCTTTAAATCGTGGGTTCTTATCCTGGTTCGCCCTGATTATGTTTCTAGGGTTCTCTGCTGGATACCCTGCTCATGGGTTTCACCAAAGTGGTAACCGTCTGAGACCTGAATTACTTAGGGTTAACCGCCCATGTCAAGCTGATATAACTGAAATTCTAAACAAATAAAAGCTGCGTCATCCTATCTCACCCATTATACAAAATGAAGTTTTACACGCGACTGCAGCACGCTGGTGAGCACTGTCTGACCACTGTCCACTGTACCCGTGAAGATTCGGGGTAGAATAAGTCTTCAGCAACCCATGCTTGCAGTCAAAGGCGACGATGCTTGTCGTAACAGGCGACTAACGGTATCGGGCGGTCAGGCTTGCTGACTTGGTTGATGATGTCATCGTTATCCCAATTGCCGTCATATAGCTGGAATATTGCTGAGCGCGGCGTTAAACAACGAACAAGCAAACACACTGTCCACACCTATCTCAACCAACCGCTCTTGTAGCTGCTTGTCCTCATCAGCTCTAGGTCCGCCTCACGACTCTCACTGGACGTGTGGATAGTCTATATGGGTATATCTGAAATATTACGGTTCCTGTAAGTGCATCGTGTGACTGGTTTGTTTCCCGTGCAGTCTACAGACGCTGGGCCCTCTGTTGTTCGCTGACCAGTTCCTCCAGGTGAGCTACAGCGTCCCCAGCACTTTTCTGTACGGACTGGGCGAACACAGGGACGCCTTCATGCACAGCTTCAACTGGACCCGCTTCGTCATGTGGAACCGGGGGACACCGCCAGTGGTGAGAATGTTAACGGTTACTCATCTTCAAATTCGTCCAGTGTAACGCTTTCTATTTGTTAAATATCTTTGAACGACATATAAAGATCGGTAGTACCTAGAGACCAGGTGACTGGTGAAGGTACAACATTAACTTTGAAAAGTATTCAAATAAACATGAAGTCCGTATCGTAATGTTTCAATGCCGTTATGTACCCTCTTGGCTGGACGTGAACAGTGACTGGCTCGTTATCACGTATCTATGGAACGTGGCTGACTGTGTCACCGTCCCATCTCGCTGTAACGTATCTATGGATACCGAAAGTATCATTGCCACCTCGTGATAACGTATATCTATGGAATGAGGGTGACTTTGTCACCGTCCCATCACGCTGTAACGTATCCGTGGATACCGAAAGTATCATTGCCACCTCGTGATAACATATATCTATGGAATGTGACTGTGTCACTATAATCTCGCTTTAATGTATATCTATGGAATGTGACTGTGTCACTATAATCTCGCTATAATGTATATCTATGGAATGTGACTGTGTCATTATAATCTCGCTATAACGTATATCTATGGAATGTGACTGTCATTATAATCTCGCTATAATGTATATCTAATAAATGTGACTGTGTCTCTATAATCTCGCTATAACTTCTATCTATGGAATGTGACTGTGTTGTTGTGTCCGTACCCCCAGGAACACAGGAACCTGTACGGCTCCCACCCCTTCTACCTGATGATGGAGGAGGACGGCAGCAGTCACGGTGTGCTCCTCCTCAACAGCAACGCACTAGGTCAGTCTCACCATATACCCCGTGTCTCGTCTCACCACACACCCTGTGTCTAGTCTCACCACACACCCCGTGTCTAGTCTCACCACACACCCCGTGTCTAGTCTCACCACACACCCTATGTCTAGTCTCACCACACACCCTGTGTCTAGTCTCACCGCACACCCTGTGTCTCTTCTCACCACACACCCCGTGTCTAGTCTCACCACACACCCCGTGTCTAGTCTCACCACACACACCGTGTCTAGTCTCACCACACACCCCGTGTCTAGTCTCACCGCACACCCAGTGTCTCTTCTCACAACACACCCCGTGTCTAGTCTCACCACACACCCCGTGTCTAGTCTCACCACACACCCCGTGTCTAGTCTCACCACACACCCCGTGTCCAGTCTTACCACACACCCCGTGTCTAGTCTCACCACACACCCCGTGTCTAGTTTCACCACACACCCCGTGTCTAGTCTCACCACACACCCCGTGTCTAGTCTTACCACAAACCCTGTGTCTAGTCTCACTACACACCCTGTGTCTAGTCTCACCACACACCCAGTGTCTAGTCTCACCACACACCCTATGTCTAGTCTCACCACACACCCTGTGTCTAGTCTCACCGCACACCCTGTGTCTCTTCTCACCACACACCCCGTGTCTAGTCTCACCACACACCCCGTGTCTAGTCTCACCACACACCCCGTGTCTAGTCTCACCACACACCCCGTGTCTAGTCTCACCGCACACCCAGTGTCTCTTCTCACCACACACCCCGTGTCTAGTCTCACCACACACCCCGTGTCTAGTCTCACCACACACCCCGTGTCTAGTCTCACCACACACCCCGTGTCCAGTCTTACCACACACCCCGTGTCTAGTCTCACCACACACCCCGTGTCTAGTCTCACCACACACCCCGTGTCTAGTCTCACCACACACCCCGTGTCTAGTCTTACCACAAACCCTGTGTCTAGTCTCACTACACACCCTGTGTCTAGTCTCACCACACACCCTATGTCTAGTCTCACCACACAACCTGTGTCTAGTCTCACCACACAACCTGTGTCTAGTCTCACCACACACCCTCTGTCTAGTCTCACCACACACCCCGTGTCTCGTCTCACCACACACCCCGTGTCTAGTCTCACCACAAACCCTGTGTCTAGTCTTACCGCACACCCCGTGTCTCTTCTCACCACACACCCCGTGTCTAGTCTTACCACATACCCTGAGTCTAGTCTCACCACACACCCTGTGTCTAGTCTCACCGCACACCCCGTGTCTCTTCTCACCACACCCCGTGTCTAGTCTCACCACACACCCCGTGTCTCGTCTCACCACACACCCTGAGTCTAGTCTCACCACACACCCCGTGTCTAGTCTTACCGCACACCCCGTGTCTCTTCTCACCACACACCCTGTGTCTAGTCTCACCAAACACCCCGTGTCTAGTCTCACCACACAACCTGTGTCTAGTCTCACTACACGCCCCATGCCTAGTCTCACCACACACCCCGTGTCTAGTCTCACCACACACCCTATGTCTAGTCTCACCACACACACTGCGTCTAGTCTCACCACACACCCTCTGTCTAGTCTCACCTAACACCCTGTGTCTAGTCTCACCACACACCCCGTGTCTAGTCTCACCGCACACCCCGTGTCTCTTCTCACCACACACCCTGAGTCTAGTCTCACCGCAAACCCAATGTCTCTTCTCACCACACACCCCGTGTCTAGTCTCACCACACACCCTATGTCTAGTCTCACCACACACCCTGTGTCTAGTCTCACCACACACCCCGTGTCTAGTCTCACCACACAACCTGTGTCTAGTCTCACCACACACCCTGTGTCTAGTCTCACCACACACCCCGTGTCTAGTCTCACCACACACCCTGTGTCTAGTCTCACCACACACCCTGTGTCTAGACTCACCACACACCCCGTGTCTAGTCTTACTATACACCCTGTGTCTAGTCTTACCACACACCCCGTGTCTAGTCTAACCGCACACCCCGTGTCTCTTCTCACCACACCCTGTGTCTAATCTCACCACACACCCTGTGTCTAGTCTCACCACACATCCCATGTCTAGTCTCACCACACACCCCGTGTCTAGTCTCACCACACACCCTGTGTCTAGTCTCACCACACACCCCCTGTCATATATATTTATAAACCCAGCATATATAAGGCTTAGCATAAAGTTACAATTAATATTAATTAATCACAGCTTCTCTATCAGTTTTTGCATATTAACATTTTGCAAAGCGAAGATATTTGAATTTCTCAATGCATGACTGTCTTTACAAGCAGTTATTTTCCTCCATAATCCCATAGACAAGTGGTCAGATTGGACTCGGGGTTGAATAATCCCCTTGCACGCTATTCCTTCGCATGGGATGGCCAAACTCGGTAACTTCTTCACCGCGTGCGCCCCCCGCCCAGGCGCGCCAGGATCCGCTGTTGGTGGGTTCGAATCCAAACTTCGCTCTGACTATGATCCTTGGTTTGTCAGCACCCTACCGTCCCCGTATCAAAGTGGTAAACGTCTAAACCGTGCACTTTTGTCTACCTTCCACATCAAACTGACACGCTGAACTAATAATAAACTGTTAAGTGTTAACTTACCTACTCACAAAGTATCACCTTATTGGAACTTGTTTGGAATGAGACCTCTGGATACTGTCATTTAGCGCTCTTTGTTTATTTGGTGTGCTCCATTGATTGCTTTGGGGTACCGACCGCCTCCGTGGTCTAGTGGTAGAGCGTCCGGCCGGAGAGCGGAAGGTCGTGGATTCGACCCCCATCCGAGTCGTACCAAAAGACGTTAGAAGATGGTACCTGTTGCAACACTGCCTTGCGCTCAGCATTAAGGGGCTGAAACAAGGTGTTGTCAGCTCGTAGTCAGTGTCCGAGTGGGGTATTCATGTTAAACTGCGGCGAGCACTATAAAATCGGCATTAGTCCGAACTAGTAGTACAAGCAGCCACACATACACGTGCATGCACGTCACTATATTAGTGCAATAACCTTGAACGCGACGTTAAACCCCATTTCACTTTTTGGGAACCATGTTTTATTGTCTCCTGATTTCTGCCTTTCCCGTAGAGGTCATGCTTCAGCCAGCCCCAGCCGTCACGTGGCGGGCCATCGGGGGGATACTCGACTTTTACGTGTTCCTTGGACCGGATCCTGATGACGTCATCCAGCAATACACACAGCTGATTGGACGCAGCTTCATGCCGCCATATTGGGGTCTTGGTTTCCACGTGTGTCGCTATGGTTACAACACTGCCAACAGGACCCGCCAGGTGCTTGAGAGGATCCGAGATGCCGGGGTTCCTGTGGTATGTCCACCTGTCAGGCGAAATACTGGATCTGTTTCTTTACGAGAAAGTAGGACCATTTCAAAGCGATTTATTGTTTCAAACATGTACTGTATAGATTCATTAATTATTAATATTTTGTTACTCATAACCCGTCCGCCTCATAAAAGTGCCCCCGTGTCATATTTTCTAAATGTTTGAAAAGACCTTTTTACTAAAATTTCTTATTTGAACGTTTTGACGAAACGTTTGCATACACCATTGATAGTGTGTGAGAGTCGCCGGAAAACATTGCTATTGTCACCAGGACAACGCGTCTGTTCTTATTTCGAGGCTCAGGGAGCGTGCCTAAAGGGGACCACGTGGTACATGAAACTCAAGTTGTATTTTTATGATTTGAGACTTTCTGATAAAATCTCCCTCCCCTCATAGTCAGTTTTGAAAAGAGTGGCCTAACCTAATCCCAAAGACATCCCGTGTTCCCAAGATACAACAGTTCCCAATGCTCTCAAGTCCTTGTCGCATAAAGCTAATACATAGGATCGAATGATCAGGCCTGGTGACTTGGTTGTTGTGTCATCGTACCCTTGACGGCTTGGAGTGTTGCTCATGATATCATTCACTGGATTGTCTGGTCGAGACGCGACTACTTACAGCTTAAGTATTGCTGAGTGCGGCGTTAGATACACATCATTCACTTCATTGCCAAGTAAGGTTGTGTGTGTGTGTGAGTATGATGAGTCTGGATTAAACGTTTTATAACCAGCTTTCATTACATTACTGTAGGACGTCCAGTGGAACGACATCGACTACATGGACGATCTGAAGGACTTCACGACCTCGCCGACATTCGGCGACCAGGCGGGGCTAGTGGATTACGTCCACTCCCTCGGCATGCACTACGTCATCATCACGGTAAGACAGCCCTATGAACAATTGCAGGGGCCGTGAGGTAGTCAGTGGTTAAAGCGTTCGCTGGTCACACCGAAGACCCGGGTTCAATTCCGCTCGCTGGTACAATGTGTGAAGCCCATTTCTCGTGTTCTCCGCCGTGATATTGCTGGAATATTGCTGACATCGGCGTAAAACCATACTCACCCACTCACTCACTCACTCTCCTGTCCTCCGCCGTGATATTGCTGGAAAATTGCTAACATCGGCGTAAAACCATACTCACTCACTCACGAAACATTTGTACTGCAATCTGGAGCGCTTACAACCAATTACAACGACGCCGTAACCACTCCCTACTTGTGGTGACCATTAAAACAATCCTCTTACTGAACTTTTGAGTGTCTAGCTTTTGTGTGTCAGTCTGTCATACGTATTACCATGTCGTAGAACAAACCCAGATCCACGTGTGATGATAACATATGACTTTGACATTGCTGTGGCAGGATCCCGGGATAAGCAACACCCAACCTGCGGGTTCCTATGCACCGTATGACCTTGGGATGAAGATGGGCATCTTTATTCGGAATTCAGACAACGATGACCCCTTGGTGTCAAAGGTACAAAAAACACTGTACAATGTCTAAATCTTGCAAGGGCAAGCGAAGTCCCAAGGGATAGTTTTATTGGGTTTTTCGAATGCCAAGCATTCCTACCGACTGTAAACTAAAGTATAGATAACGTAACCTATCACATACTCGGTAGGTGTCTCCACAGGATAAAGGCAACGAATGCAAACGGTATAGGTTAAGTCATTTACAGATTAATATGCAAAACGTCAGGTAGATACTACTTTCAGTGTTTACAAAGATGGCGTCGCCCTTTATCGGCTATTGATTCAAAATTGATCGGGGATCTGGACTAATTACTGGGATAATTGTTATCATCACCCGATTAATAGTATAAATACCAAAAACCAACGTCTAGCTGAGGCGTAGATGAGGCAACATCGGAAATATTAAGGAAACAATTTATCGAGGACATTAGGCATATCAATGTCCATACCTTGCTCGTAGACCTCTGAGGCTTGGGGCTTTTCTCGAATATGTTAATGCCTGGTAATGTGTTTTTTAATGAAAATGTGATGCAGTTTGAAAAAGTTGTTGCTTATGAGATACTAGTAACATCAACTTCATGACGACATTGTCTCCCCTTCCCCCTGTCTCCTGCAGGTGTGGCCTGGCGACACCGTGTTCCCCGACTTCACCCACCCCGACTCGCAGCTCTACTGGACACTGATGGTCAAGAACTTCCACGACAAGGTCCAGTTTGATGGCATTTGGCTGGTAGGCATTGGATGGACACGAGTGGACCTGACGATATGTCGAAACATATATGTGTGATGTCAGTAGACACGATTCCGTATGTGATGTATGTTGGTAGTCAAGTAGACACGGGCATGTGTGATGGGTTTGCTGCCACACAGTTGGTGACATCGTAAGGCACAAGCAATGTGAAGAAATGAAACAAATGAGTTCTCTATTTATTACTTGTAGGACATGAACGACATCTCCAGCTTCGTGGACGGTTCTGTGACGGGCTGCACGGAGTCCAACACCACGTACGACGACCCGCCGTATCTGCCAGGTACACGAACTGACGCTGAGAGCAGGGACTATAGCATCTTCCCGAGGCAATAGAGTTAACTGACTTTAAAAGTCCAGTTTCCACCCTTGCCGAACTAGGTTGGAATTCCTGGGCTCGATCGTAGTGCCACCAATGGCTATTACGAGTTATGTCCCTTCTATGCCTCTCCAGTGGACCAATCAGATTCCACCTCTCGTATCACTTGCATTTGCCTCAAACAAAGCGGCGGCGCCCAGTCAAGACGATCTGATCGATAATCAAGATCTATATATTGTGATAAAACGAGTCTTACACCGCGAAGTGCAATAAATCACGTGAGCACCTTGATTAATAACATGAAAAGATTTAGAAAATATCCGTTGACAACGAGTTGGCGGTGCACATGTTTTGCAAATCCTCCAATCGACCGAAATCTGCATGACAGTTTACGAACCGGATTTCGATTTTGTTACGCGATTTTCATTGGACTATGCATAGACTCGTTAGTCCAGCCAAAATGTAACTCCATAATACCAGCCTAGTTCGGCAAGGGTGGAAACTGGACTTTTATAGTCAGTTAACTCCCTTGCCTCGGGAAGATGGGACTATAGCGCCTGAATAAATCCACAGACTATAGTTATATGAAAAGCCAGTTATCGATATGGAAGTCACTAATTGAGGACGGTGTCTCAAGGAGAGTGTGTAGACGGTTTCTTTCATTACAGAACCTTCATATGATTTCACACTTGGGTACAATTTCTGAAATTCACAGCATAATTACGTTGTGAAATGAAAACTAGATGACTTGATCCCTTACCTCTCATTTCTGTCAGCTGTGTACGGCGACCGCCTCTACACCCGCACCATCTGCACGTCGTCGCGACATCACTGGTCCCGCAACTACAACATCCACAACATGTACGGCTTGACGGAGACTAACGCCACCTACCAGTAAGCGGCAGAGACTCAAGAAATATAACGTAACATTGGTAACGGTAAAACTTGGAGCAGAAACTCCACCATATCTTAAGATTCTCCAACGCTAGTCTTATTTAAATAACATGTTTTACATCTCTCACTATGGTGATCTGACAAATGCCCCAATGGGAGATCTCGTGAGGTTTACACTGAGCAAACTACGACCGCCCAGCTTACAAGAAGGACGCATGGGTTTTTGAGTTTTGCATCTTTCTAAAGTGATTCGGCTACATTTCTTGCTAGTAGATGCCCTGGCGACATGGTATGTAAAATAACGACAAAAATGTTTCAGTTCCGCCTTTATTACTTCCATTTGGAACTACCCCTTCATATTCTTTTTCTACTAGTTTTTCTGATCTTAATGCTTCGCTCACTACTTTAGAATTTAGAAACGTCGACGCTGATTGGTCCATTAGAAAGTTCTCCTGTGGAGGGTTTGACAGATCTTCACGCGGTAAAATATCGGTGAAATATGATTGTTATAACCTTTCTATGTCCTACTGCTTCCCTGATATTTCCTAGTTGTTATGAAGATGGCACCGGCCGCAAGACGAGGAGCTCTCCCTCGCCGTAATGTTATTCTTATACTGTGCAATCACAACGTAACGTGTTTTCTCGTCATCTGTAGGGCTTTGAAGGCAGTCAGAAAAGGTCACAGACCCTTCATCATTTCAAGGTCAACTTTCCCAGGTCAAGGTCATTACGGAGGCCACTGGAGCGGCGACAATGCAGCAACCTATTGGGACATGAATCGGTCAATCTCAGGTCAGTCCCACCCTGTTCGTGATATATAAACCTCTGTTACATGTTGTGCATTTATCCAGAGATCCTTAGCTTCTCCCCGTTCGTGATGTCATAACCTCTGTCACATGTTGTACATTTACCACACAGAGATCCTTAGCTTTTCCCCGTTCGTGATGTCATAACCTCTGTTACATGTTGTACATTTACCACACAAAGATCCTTAGCTTTTCCCCGTTCGTGATGTCATAACCTCTGTTACATGTTGTACATTTACCACACAGAGATCCTTAGCTTTTCCCCGTTCGTGATGTCATAACCTCTGTTACATGTTGTACATTTACCACACAGAGATCCTTAGCTTTTCCCCGTTCGTGATGTCATAACCTCTGTTACATGTTGTACATTTACCACACAGAGATCCTTAGCTTTTCCCCGTTCGTGATGTCATAACCTCTGTTACATGTTGTACATTTACCACACAGAGATCCTTAGCTTTTCCCCGTTCGTGATGTCATAACCTCTGTTACATGTTGTACATTTACCACACAGAGATCCTTAGCTTTTCCCCGTTCGTGATGTCATAACCTCTGTTACATGTTGTACATTTACCACACAGAGATCCTTAGCTTTTCCCCGTTCGTGATGTCATAACCTCTGTTACATGTTGTACATTTACCACACAGAGATCCTTAGCTTTTCCCCGTTCGTGATGTCATAACCTCTGTTACATGTTGTACATTTACCACACAGAGATCCTTAGCTTTTCCCCGTTCGTGATGTCATAACCTCTGTTACATGTTGTACATTTACCACACAGAGATCCTTAGCTTTTCCCCGTTCGTGATGTCATAACCTCTGTTACATGTTGTACATTTACCACACAGAGATCCTTAGCTTTTCCCCGTTCGTGATGTCATAACCTCTGTTACATGTTGTACATTTACCACACAGAGATCCTTAGCTTTTCCCCGTTCGTGATGTCATAACCTCTGTTACATGTTGTACATTTACCACACAGAGATCCTTAGCTTTTCCCCGTTCGTGATGTCATAACCTCTGTTACATGTTCTACATTTATCACAGAGATCCTTAGCTTTTCCCCGTTCGTGATGTCATAACCTCTGTTACATGTTGTACAATTACCACACAGAGATCCTTAGCTTTTCCCCGTTCGTGATGTCATAACCTCTGTTACATGTTGTACATTTACCACACAGAGATCCTTAGCTTTTCCCCGTTCGTGATGTAAGAACCTCTGTTACATGTTGTACATTTACCACACAGAGATCCTTAGCTTTTCCCCGTTCGTGATGTCATAACCTCTGTTACATGTTGTACATTTACCACACAGAGATCCTTAGCTTTTCCCCGTTCGTGATGTAAGAACCTCTGTTACATGTTGTACATTTACCACACAGAGATCCTTAGCTTTTCCCCGTTCGTGATGTCATAACCTCTGTTACATGTTGTACATTTACCACACAGAGATCCTTAGCTTTTCCCCGTTCGTGATGTCATAACCTCTGTTACATGTTGTACATTTACACACAGAGATCCTTAGCTTTTCCCCGTTCGTGATGTCATAACCTCTGTTACATGTTGTACATTTACCACACAGAGATCCTTAGCTTTTCCCCGTTCGTGATGTCATAACCTCTGTTACATGTTGTACATTTATCACAGAGATCCTTAGCTTTTCCCCGTTCGTGATGTCATAACCTCTGTTACATGTTGTATAATTACCACACAGAGATCCTTAGCTTTTCCCCGTTCGTGATGTCATAACCTCTGTTACATGTTGTACATTTACCACACAGAGATCCTTAGCTTTTCCCCGTTCGTGATGTAAGAACCTCTGTTACATGTTGTACATTTACCACACAGAGATCCTTAGCTTTTCCCCGTTCGTGATGTCATAACCTCTGTTACATGTTGTACATTTACCACACAGAGATCCTTAGCTTTTCCCCGTTCGTGATGTAAGAACCTCTGTTACATGTTGTACATTTACCACACAGAGATCCTTAGCTTTTCCCCGTTCGTGATGTCATAACCTCTGTTACATGTTGTACATTTACCACACAGAGATCCTTAGCTTTTCCCCGTTCGTGATGTCATAACCTCTGTTACATGTTGTACATTTACCACTAAGAGATCCTTAGCTTTTCCCCGTTCGTGATGTAAGAACCTCTGTTACATGTTGTACATTTACCACACAGAGATCCTTAGCTTTTCCCCGTTCGTGATGTCATAACCTCTGTTACATGTTGTACATTTACCACACAGAGATCCTTAGCTTTTCCCCGTTCGTGATGTCATAACCTCTGTTACATGTTGTACATTTACCACACAGAGATCCTTAGCTTTTCCCCGTTCGTGATGTCATAACCTCTGTTACATGTTGTACATTTACCACACAGAGATCCTTAGCTTTTCCCCGTTCGTGATGTCATAACCTCTGTTACATGTTGTACATTTATCACAGAGATCCTTAGCTTTTCCCCGTTTGTGATGTCATAACCTCTGTTACATGTTGTACAATTACCACACAGAGATCCTTAGCTTTTCCCCGTTCGTGAAGAACCTCTGTTACATGTTGTACATTTACCACTAAGAGATCCTTAGCTTTTCCCCGTTCGTGATGTAAGAACCTCTGTTACATGTTGTATAATTACCACACAGAGATCCTTAGCTTTTCCCCGTTCGTGATGTCATAACCTCTGTTACATGTTGTACATTTACCACACAGAGATCCTTAGCTTTTCCCCGTTCGTGATGTCATAACCTCTGTTACATGTTGTACATTTACCACACAGAGATCCTTAGCTTTTCCCCGTTCGTGATGTCATAACCTCTGTTACATGTTGTACATTTACCACACAGAGATCCTTAGCTTTTCCCCGTTCGTGATGTCATAACCTCTGTTACATGTTGTACATTTATCACAGAGATCCTTAGCTTTTCCCCGTTTGTGATGTAAGAACCTCTGTTACATGTTGTACAATTACCACACAGAGATCCTTAGCTTTTCCCCGTTCGTGATGTAAGAACCTCTGTTACATGTTGTACATTTACCACACAGAGATCCTTAGCTTTTCCCCGTTCGTGATGTAAGAACCTCTGTTACATGTTGTACAATTACCACACAGAGATCCTTAGCTTTTCCCCGTTCGTGATGTCATAACCTCTGTTACATGTTGTACATTTACCACACAGAGATCCTTAGCTTTTCCCCGTTCGTGATGTCATAACCTCTGTTACATGTTGTACAATTACCACACAGAGATCCTTAGCTTTTCCCCGTTCGTGATGTCATAACCTCTGTTACATGTTGTACATTTACCACGCAGAGATCCTTAGCTTTTCCCCGTTCGTGATGTCATAACCTCTGTTACATGTTGTACATTCACCAGAAAGGGATCTTCAGCTTCTCCCTGCTCACGATGTGATATATATACAATGATATACCATTGTATATATACAACACACAGATCCTCATACTCTCCCTTTTCGTGATATATAGAGCATATTAAAGTGAATTATCTTCTTTTCTTCGAGATATATATATATATACCTGATGAAATCACTTGTTTTAAACCCCACAAATAAGAAATATGTTTTAGGTCAATACAATTCTGTATCCTACACATGGATATGAGTTTATACAAAATCAACTTCAACAAAAATATTCTTGAAATCTACGAGAGCGCTGTTGGAAGCGAAGGAATACACGCTGACAAAGTAACAAAAAGGACGCTTTGCGAAGCGATCGGAAAGTTAAATGAGAATTTACAGTTTAAAACGAAACGAGAAGGGATATCGACTCCATAAATGATCATATGTCATTATTTTGCCTTGTCCATGGGGAACTAACGGAAAAGGGAACGTTAAAGGGAGATAATTTAAGGGGAGGTAACTCTTGGTACACAACAGTTCTGTCAAAGTGTAATGTTCACTGCAGTGAAATATCAAGTGTTATGTTAACTGCAATGAAAATATGATTTTCCTCAACTTCAGAAAAATAAGTCTTTCACATTGAGGTATTTAAAAAATATACTGTCACATGTTGTACACAAACAACACAGAGATTCTCAGCTTCTCCCTGTTCGGGGTGCCCCTTGTGGGCGCGGACATCTGTGGTTTCATGGACAACACTACGGAAGCTCTGTGTCAGCGCTGGTACCAGCTCGGGGCTTTCTACCCGTTCTCCAGGGTGCACAACAACAAGAAGGCCATGGTACGTGCTGTAGAGAATAGACTCCCCTTGTCTGTGTCTCCCTTGACAGTGGCACAGTTGTCCCCCCTTTGCCTGTGATACAGTTTTCTCTCTTGGATGTGACACGGCAATGTCTGTGACACGGTTAAAATCAGATCTTAGTTCTCGGCACCGCTAAACCTAGATCTGAGGACATCTCATTACGGGTCATGCCAGATCGACCTTTCGCGAACTTTTACCGACCAATGGAAGGACTGATAAGAAGTCGACATAAGCCAATCAGAAGGCAGCTTTCTCGTTCTTTACGGCACTAGTTTCAAACTGGTGCCTACGGTTCGAAATATATTTAAACAAATTCTCGATTAAAATTTTGAAAACTGAACAAAAGATAATTCTGAAATGGCTCACAGATGGCGGAGATTGTATGGAGTCAGTCATTGAAGCCCGTAACTGTCGTTCGGAATACCCCTTCGAAGTTGCATCATTAGAAAACACATTCCGACTTCACTTTCCTGATCTGGTAAGCAACGCCCTGATTGGTCGGAAGAAAGGTCATTCTGACATGACCCGTAATGGGATGTCCTACTATCTTTGTTTAGCGGTAGCGAGAACTAAGATCTGATTTTATTGAAATTAGGACTCGGTGGGTACTAAGAACTACACTGATTATTGTTCTATAATTGGTAAATACCTTTTATTCATTGATACTTTCGGATATGGGATATCTGGTTTTCTTTCATCAAGTTCCCAAACCACCGTGACCATGGGAAGCGAAATCTTGTCTGATACACGCTGATGTGATAGCAGGACAACGCAATGTATTCCTGGAGCCGAACATTGCCAAATGTCACTAATACTTGCCATCCCTACCCGCTGTAGGACCAGGACCCGGGTGCGTTCAGCCCCGCCCTTGCCTCGTCCACCCGGAAGGCGCTCCTCACCCGGTACTCCCTCCTGCCCTATCTCTACACCCTGTTCCACAAGAGTAGCGGCATGGGGCAGACCGTCGTCAGGCCTCTCTTCTTTGAGTAAGTGTTTGTTTGTTTGTTGTTTAACGTCGCATACAGCACTATTCCAGCTATATGAAGGCGGTATATAAATAATCATTCTGGACCAGACAATCCAGTGATTGATATCATGAGCATTGATCAACGCTCTTGGTCGATGACATACTTCAACCAAGTTAGCGAGCCTGACCACCTGCTCCCATTAGTTGCCTCTTACGACAATCATAATCGTCTTTTACGGCAAACAGGGGTTGCTGAAGATCTTCAAGAGTCTCACTACAGCAGTTCAGTCACTACAGTTCTACTACATTACGGCTTACTTAGTCAGTGTTACTACAGCAACTTGCAAGTTAAAACAGTACTACTGTAAGCGTTACAACAACGAACCTTTATACAGCTACTATTGCTACAGCAATGATACAACAGGAAATGTTATTAAAACCAGCTAGTATTACTACATTTGTACAGTTAGTGCCACTGCAGCAATTACTGACGAGTAATGTTGTACGTCACCAAGAGTTCAGTTGTGAAACCACACCCTGTTCCTGCTATGCCACATGTATGTGTTTGTGTTGGACCCAGGTTTCCAGGGGACAGGGCGACGTATTCCGTGGATACACAGTTCCTGTGGGGGCCGGCTCTCATGGTGCTGCCAGTTCTCTCGGAGGTTCGTGTACATTCCTATCTATAGTTGCAATAATAATAATAATAATAATAATAAAGACGACGACGACGACGACGACGACGACGACGATGATGATGATGATGATGATATCCATTTATATTGCGCATATTTCCACACCACTCAGGGGCATGCTCAAAGCGTTATTATTACACCGGTCACTGGATCAGTGTGAACTCAACAGTCATTCTCAGCTCCTTTTGGAGTATACACTCCAAGCTGCCTTTTAACAACCACAGTGTCATCTCCGGGTACCGGGTACCCATTCACTGCTGGGTGAACAGCGGCACATTTCGAAATGTGTGTACACTGCACATGACAACTGGAAAATGTATATGCTACCCCATCTGATACTGAAGTTATAGCTGTGTAACCCCAGAGCATTGAAACCTCCACCACTATATATTTAATATTCTAGAGACTTTGGGGTTGGGGTGGGTGAGGGTTTTTCTAATGTTAGACACGGATTATATTTTCCTCAAGACATACATTTTTACTTTGAATTCAGCAGATTTTACCTCTTTAGGACACCAAGCATGTCACACGGACAATGTTATTTGTAAGACCGGGAAAAAATTATTTGTTTTCACTATTTTCTCGAAAATAAAATTCTTCAAAACATTTCGACGTTTGAGTTGTTCACGTTAGTAGTGATATATAAAGGTAGTCTCGATAAGGCACCGTTCCACAAAGCAATCTTAGCGATACTACTATCGTAAACCAGTGTTAAGTATGGGAGTTAACTAGTCACTTTAGCTCTAAAATAGCTTTGTAGAACGGGGCCCTAGTCCATAACATTACTTAGACTTGACGGGGTTTTACTGTGGGTAAGTGAGTAAAAGATAATTCTACCACGAATATGGAAATTCGATTCTGATTTATGAACGTTCGGTTCAAAATTCCATTGAGCACGGTTAAGTCTACATGTCACCAAGATCAACATTGTAAGCACAGAATTATATCTCCTAAATGCATACTCTGCATATCTGCTGCTTTTGACACGGTAAACGATTTTCATATTTTCATTTTTTTGTGGCTATTCTTTACAAAGGGTGAACAGGTACTCTCTCACAGAAACACTTACATCATAAACATCTATTATATATAACCAGATTATGTTGAACATATCCAGGGTTATGAGAATTACCTTATCAATTATATCTTGGATCACTTTAATGCATCACGTACTTCTTGTGATAGGATTGTTAATAACTTTGGTAAGTGTTTACTGTTAATTTTGTTCAGTACTTAATGTCCATATTAAATCTAGCAGTAAATCTTACAAATGAGTGTTGGATTATTATTATAGGACGGACCAATTTTAAGAGGCTCTACTATCTGAAAATGTACAGAACTAATAAACAAAATCAATGGAACCTACTGTCTTCTTGAAGCATTATGTAATACTCGTATGGATATGAAGAGACGGATGAATGGTGCTGTTATAGATAAGAAGTGGTTTGATCCTGAGTTTGGATTTCTCAAAAAAGAAAGATGTAGGTGTTTAAATATGTTCCGCAAATTATAAGACCAAATTTCTTTAGAAAATTACAAAAATTAAAGAAATAGAAATAGTATGTGTAGAACTAAAAAAACAAGATTACAATAACAGACAAGGTGATAAGCTTGAAAGCTCTATTACTGATGCAAAATCTTTTTGGTCAACTTAAACGAAAAATACTGTGAAGCACTAAAGATAGAGACACATGATATGATCATTTCAAGGAACTGCATGAATTCGACAACAACAACGAAGATATAAAAATTGCTGATGAATCACGGTATAATCAGAGTGGTATTCTGAAAGATATTTCAGGTACTCCTATCTCAAGGGAAGACGTCATTGAAAGCATTGTAGGTTTAAAGAATAGTAAGTCACCTGGACTTGATGACGTCATATCAGAATGTTTTAAACATTCACCTGATATTGTTGCTCCATGTTCAGAAATATTGTTTAATTCTATTTCTGAAAATTCGACATTTCCTAAACAATGGTCAGTCGGTGTAGTTATCCCGCTTCATAAGCAAGGTTGAGTTAATAATACAAATAACTATTGACCATCACAACACTTAGTATTTTAAGCAAACATTTCTTGCATATTACGCATAAAAGACTTGTGTTTTGGGCTGATTCTCATGCTAAACTATCAGAATCTCAAGCCGGCCTCAGAGAAGGTTACACTACTACAGATAATATTTTCGATTTGCATTCGTTAAACAAAGATATCTATTAAAGAAAGGAGGTAAATTGTACACACTATTTGTAGACTTTAGTGAGACATTCCAATCTGTAAAGCGGGATAAATTGTAATGTATACTTAAGAATCGTGGTCTCAGTCAAAAAGTCAAAATTATTGTCATGTATCTATGCAGATGTAAAAGCTTTCGTACGATGCAACGGTAATTTCAGTAATATATTTGAAAGCAATATTGGAGTAAGACAAGGATGCACATTAAGCCCTTTTCTCTTTTCTTTCTTTATCAACGAATTAGCCATAGAAATGGAGGATAAATGTCAAGGTGGTATACAATTACATCCTGATAGTGTACAAGTTTTTTTACTGCTATTTGCTGATGATGACGTAATGATTTCCAGTACCTTAACTGGATTACCACATCAAATTAATGTACTAAAAAAGTTTTGAGGAAAAGTCATATCTAATGGCCAACATGGGACAAACTAAGGTAATTGTTTTCATAAACGGGGGTACATTATCAAAACGGGAAAAACAGTTTTACACAGGTAAAGTCTTAGATGTTGTTACTAAGTACAAATATATGGGTGTCTATTTCTCCAGCAAACTGGCATGGAATTTCCATTCAACACAAGCTGCCATCAAGGCAAAGAAGATCTTCTTTGGCATTCTAAAAGATCTCAAAAGCATTGTTGATGTAAACTTTGATGTATTTTTTAAGATCTTTGATGCAAAAAATAATCCTATGTTATTGTATGGGGGTTGAGATATAGGGTATGACGAAGTGAGACTTTATTGAAAGAGTACAGGCATATGCATATAAACGAATTTTGGGAGTAAAATTAATACTCCAAATGCAGTGGTGTATAGTGAATGTGGTAGATTTCCATTATTTATGTATGCACAGGTTAAAGTTATGACGTATTGGGTAAAATTATTACTCATGCCTTCTTGTAGATATCCAAGGAAATGTTATGAAATGATGTTACTGTATGATAGTTCTGGAAGTGTAAATTGGGTGTCATATGTTAATTTTTATTTATGACCTTGGTTTTGGCCTTGTTTGGCATACCCTGAACAGTTTATTGACATGGTCATTTAAAGACTAAAGGATGTGTATGTACAGAAATGAAACTTGGCAGTATTATTATCACCACAATGTGAAGATACTCTTCAAAAAAAGAAAGGCAAAGCCTGATTTTTGTGAGGTAGGAAAATACATTCATACGAGGAACCGTACCAGGTATTGAGCCAAAATGTTGTGGAGAGAACACTTGGTGATTGTAATCTCAGTTATCGGTACATAGGAAAAGACCAAGGTGAAGGTCAGCTACCATCAATATCGCGTATGTCCCCCGTTGGAATCGATAGCGGCCTGACATCACCTGTCCAGGGAAGAGACGAGTATGCGAATCACATCCTGGGGAATGGTAGCCCATTCGCCCTGCAACGCAAAAGCCAACTGATGCAAGGTCTGGGGTTATGGGTGACGTCGGCGTAGCCGTCTATCCAAATCATCCCACAGGTGCTCTATCAGGTTCAAATCCGGGGATCTGGTGGGCCAGGGGAGAACATCAACGTTGTTGTTGTGTAGAAAGGCACTTGTGATCCGTGCTGTATGCGGTCGAGCGTTGTCCTGCTGGAATACACCGTTGCCGTTGGCTGCAATTGGGAGGACGTGTGGTAGGAGAATTTCGTTGATGTATCCTTGAGTCGTAAGATTGACCTGGGTATGAACCAAACCTGTCCTGCCATGATGAGAGATAGCCACCCACATCACAACGCTACCCCACCAAACCTGTCCCCTTCCTGTACGCAGTTTCCGGCGTAACGTTCTCCCCGACGTCTGTAGACCCGTGCTCGTCCATCCCCTCGACGGAGGAGAAATCTTGATTCGTCGCTGAACCAGACATCTCTCTGTGTTGACGACACCAATGCAGTCGTTGTTGACGATGTTGTCGACTCAATATGACGCGTCGAACAGGACGTCTTGCTCGTAGACCTGCTGCTCTTAAACGGCTGCGTACAGTCTAGTCGGAGATTCTGCGCAGTCCGGGTAGTTGGGATACGGTTGAGGTGGCTGTGGTCGTCCTTTCACGTAGGTGGCGCAGTCGGATGTAGCCATCTTGGGCGGGGATGGTTAATCTTGGTCGTCCCGACATTGGCCGATCACGTGTTGACCCATTCTGTTGAAACTGATCACATAGCCTTGTGATGGTGCTGGGCGCTACATTGAAAACTCTTGCTACAGCTTATCGGGATTCCCCTGCCTGCAAGCGGCCTATGACGTTGTTTCTTGTCACTTCTGTTAATCTAGGCATGTTGTTGAACTGTCACTGTTCGATTGACGCAGACGCCAGGCAATAAAAAATCCTGTACTTTAATACCGTTCATAGTGCTGCTGCACGTGCAGTGCGTGCAGCTCCATGGTCCTTTTGTTAATGCACTGGGTGCGTGTTTCCGAATCGTACGTGTTTCCCGACGAATGGTTTGCCTGTCTTTGTGATCATTTTGATCCGGGAAATTTGTCACTGACACTATAACACATTACACCTCTTCATTTTGCACCTCTTGGTCAGCTTACTTTGCCTTTCTGGCCAAAAATATCCGTATTGCGTTTCTTTTTTTTGAAGAGTGTATTAAGTAATGTTTAAGACTCAATTTTATCTTTAGAAACCTCTTTTCCAAAACTTTAAAATATCCTTTTCTCGTAACATTTAACAGGGTAGTCACACACAAATATTAATAGAACATAGAGTTTGTAAATTGTACAATAAGCAGGTAGTAAAAGATGAGTACCATCGTTTATTTCTATGTCCAGTATATGAGCATTTTTATTGTACTAAAGTCTTCCGAAACCATCAACGTGTTTGAGCGTGTGACATCACATTTATTTCATGCAATGAATTATAGAAAATTGTACATTGAAGATTAGTTAATAATATGTACATTACACTATCGATGCAATCTATACTATCGGCCTTCTAGTATGTGTGTATATAAAGATTGAATGTCCCTATACAGTACCATTCAAGCAGGTTGTTGTCTTGTAGGGAGGGACGTCGGTAACAGTCTACCTACCTGACACACCCTGGTACGACTTCTATACGGGCAAACAGATCCCCGTGCAAGGAACACAGACCGAGATTGATGCCCCTCTTGACGTTATCAACGTCCTCCTGCGGTCTGGCTACATCCTTCCCCTCCAGCAACCGGCGACAACGACGACACAGAGGTGAGGCAACGTTGCAGTCACTTTCGCCACAACAGTGACATGATGGAACCCTTCCTGTAGGGAATGGTACTGGGTGGCTACGCTGCAGTCAGTATCCCCCCTGTCTGTAAATAGTCATGTCTGGAGAAAATAGTCTCCACCCCGGGGCATGATAACACACCATCGGGGCATGATAATATACCATCGGGACATGATAATACACCATCGGGACATGATAACACACCATCGGGGCATGGTAACACACCATCGGGACATGATAACACACGATCGGGGCACGGTAACACACCATCGGAGCATGATAACACACCATCGGGGCACGATAACACACTATCGGGACATGTTAACACACCATCGGGGCATGATAACACACTATCGGGACATGATTACACACTATCGGGGCATGATAACACACCATCGGGACATGATAACACACCATCGGGGCATGATAACACACTATCGGGACATGATTACACACCATTTGGGCACGATAACACACCATCGGAATGCAATTTGTCGATGGTATTTACCAAGAATGTAATTGATCATGTACTTATGTTAGGAGGCGTGTAATAATGTATGCGATGTGAGTGAATGAGTGAGAATGGTTTTACGCCGCGTTTAGCAATATTCCAGCAACATCACGGCGGAGGACACCAGAAATGGGCTTCACACATTGTACCCATATCGGGAATCGAACCCGGGTCTTCAGCGTGACGAGCTAACGCTTTAACCACTAGGCTACCCGACCGCCCCTTATGCGATGTTAAGGGGGCCGTTCTCCGTTATGTTCTAAAGTTGAAACCGCCTCCGTGGTCGAGTGGTAGAGCATCCGCCCGGAGAGCAGAAGGTCCGGGGCTCGATCCCCGGCCGCGTCATACCAAAAAAAGTTAAAAGATGGTACTTGTTGTTATCCTGTCTGGCGCTCGGCATTGAGGGGCTAAAACGAGGACTGGTCGGCTCGGAGTCAGTGTACTGTGTCTGAGTGGGGTATTCATGTTAAACTGCGGCATGAAGTCTCAGTGGGCTAGCACTATAAAATCGCCCACACACACGCACACACGCACGCACGCGCTATATAAGTGCAATAATCTTGGACGCGACGTTAAACCCCATTTCACCTAACATCTATTGTTGGACACGAAGGATAGTTATGAAGGTCAGGGGCCGGTACATGTCCAGCAGCCCGTGAAGATCCGGGGTAGAATAGGTCTTCAGAAACCCATGCTTGCCGTAAAAGGCGACTATGCTTGTCGTAAGAGGCCACTAACGGGATCGGGTGGTCAGGCTCGCTGACTTGGTTGATGCATGTCATCGATCCCAATCGCGTGGATCGATGCTCATGATGTCAATCACTGGATTGTCTGGTCGAGACTCGATTATTTACAGACCGCCGTCATACAGATGGAATATTGCCGAGTGCGGCGTTAAACAAACAAACAAAACATGCCCAGTACATATCTCCGACCCGTTTTTCCTTAGCATCCCTACATGATGCAGCGACTGTTAAACAGGTTTTACTTTTGAATGTCTTTCATGTGTTTTCAGTCGACGCAACCCGTTTTGGCTGGTGGTGGCACTGAACGCCACGGGGGGTGCTGAGGGGGATCTGTTCTGGGATGATGGAGACACTTTAGGTCAGTGCTACCACGAGGCGATGTGACTCCTACTAGTTCCTACCTGAGCCTGACGTTTAGAGCGCACAACGGAGAAACATTCCGCCAGGGTGGTGTTAATTACAACATTTAACGTTTCCTCTTCCGAAATGACTTTAAGGATCCATCCAGTATTGTGATATTGTGAATTCTTGTGCTTTTTCCAGATGCCCACGAGCGAATGCTGTTCAATATGCTGTGGTTTTATGCAGCAAATGTGAGTTATGAGTGAGTGGTTAAATGAGTGAGTGCGTTTTGGGGGGTCAAAGGCAGCCTTTTTTCAGTTTTTCATGGCGAGTCATCTGACAAACCAAAGGGGAATGTGGGCGAATCTGGTATTCTGAGCCCCAACCATGGACTCGGGTCATTAAAGGGGCACAACGTTTCACTGATTTGCCTTCGACCCCGTGACCACATCACGTGACGTAGGGATATAAAATAACTTTTCTCAAACGTCATTGTCAATGACGCAGTTAAAAAAAGCACGTTTAGCTTTACAGCTATCGTTAGTGTACGTTGAAGCTTATGGTATAGTTGTACATATAGGGCGCGACCTGTGAAGATCCGGTGTAGAATAGGTCTTCAGCAATCTATTCTTGCCGTAAAAGGCGACTATGCTTGTCGTAAGAGGCGTCTAACGGGATCGGGTGGTCTGACTCGCTGACTTGGTTGATGCATGTCATCGTATTACAATTGCATGGATCGATGCTCATGATATCAATCACTGGGTTGTCTGGTCCGGACTCATTTATGTACCGACTGCTGTCATATAGCTGTAATACTGCTGAGTGCGGCGTTAACAACAAACAAACAAACAAAAAAACAAAGAGGGCGCTTAGCATAAGCCTGCCACTGTTCGCCCTGCATATTCGTGTTCCAGAGACGCATGTACTCCGAGCTGCCGTACATCGGTCTGAAGGAGGAGACAATGGTGATGAGCAACGTCACCGTCTTCGGCGTGGAGACCAACCCCTCCACCGTCACTGTCAACGGCATCAGTGTCCCCTTCTCCTACAACACAAACAATAAGGTGAATGCCTGTCTACATAAATGTCCCACATGTAATATTCTTGTACATGCTTCAAGGTTCCGTTCTATATCATGGACCATGACCAGGTGTTCGCCCTCCTATGGAAGCGTATTAGTGCCACAGTCTAAAACAAATTATCCTCTACGTAGATAATACTTTAATCTACGTAGATGATACTATCGTCAACTTAGATGATACATACATCTAAGTAAATGATACTTATCTGATATTATAATCGTACGTATCGTTTTTCAGACAGTGATATCGTCTTGTGGAGTTGCGACCTTAGTTGGATACAAACATTTATATTTTTAACAAAGGTGATTACTTAATTACTGTTAATATAATTAAATGTTAATTCCCCTTACACGCATGGGCAACGCGTTACGCAACCCGTGTGCACCCCGTTGGTCACTCGTGTGGAACCCGTCCGACTCGCGTGTGATACCCGTGTGCACCCCGTTCGCCACTCGTGTGCAAAGCGTGACACACTCATTACAGGGGGAACAAACTTTTGACCAAAGGAGGACCTGTGTTTAGCTGAACTTGGAGGTGGTAACAAGGAGATATTTTTTTTTATTTCCTGACGAAAAATGTTAAGTACTTGCTGATGTCTCATTTGTAGATGTGATCTGAGTACTGTTGTGGCTTCTACATGATGTTTTGCGATGGTGTTAAGAGAATACATGATCCTGTTAAATGTTATTGCTATTCAAATGCTTTTTTTGTGATTTGACATTAGTACGACTTTCAGTGATCATTTTTATGAGGTTGGGCGGAACATTCTTTTTATTGGACCCTAATTACTTTATGATGGTTTGGTCTCGTTGTCTCAGCTCCATAGCCGTGACTCTGGGAAAGGGCAGCATTTAATTAATGAGAGTAGGTTATATCATGGAGGATACACTTTGGGGAGAGGGTTCTACTTATTACCGTACCACAGGAAGAGACCTGTAGACGTGTGCGTGGGGTAGTGTATAGGATGGCCGTTGCATAATAGCCGCCAGGAGAGGTAGACATTGAGTGTTGTTTTCACGGTCTTGTTAAATAAAATCCCAGCACTACTGTCAATATACCTTTTACTTACGATTTACAATATATATTTTTTCAACGTACATTAATGGTTTACTAGTCATATCTTTTAGAGTATTTGTCAATTGTGTTGACCTTAAAAGCAATAATTGTAATTTGTGGTGACATGTCAAATTAAAACATGAAGTCTCATCTAAAACATGAGTGAGTGAGTATGATTTTACGCCGCTTTTAGCAATATTCCAGCAATATCACGGCGGGGGACACCAGAAATGGGCTTCACACATTGTACCCATGTCGGGAATCGAACCCGGGTCTTCGGCGTGACGAGCGAACGCTTTAACCACTAGGCTACCCGACCGCCCCTCTAAAACATGAAGTAAGTACGATAGCAAATAATAATACTCAAATTGCATTAAAATACAATGATACATATGTAACCCTAAAGCCTGTGTTCCACATTAAGAGCCAGGAGGAAAAATGATTAAACAAAGGGAAGAAACTTGCCCTTACTTATATGTAGAGACATCATCTGAATGTGACTATATATGTAAATGTTACGATACTGTACTTATCTTCACGAATTATTAAAAAATGGGCATAAGGTTCACGGAGACGAAGGCTATAGATACAATACTATATTAGATTTTTTAGATGAAAAAAAATATTTGATAATAAATTCAGTTATTGATATCTTAAAACCGATTTGCTATATTAATAAACATTTCATGATAAAATTCAAATCAAATTTGTTATATAAATTCATTCTTTGGTATCCATTAATGAATTATTGATATCACATAATGAATAAATAGTAATTATTTGATAATAAATTCAGTTATTGATATCTAAAAACCGATTTTCTAAATTTGTGATATAAATTCATTCTTTGATATACATAAATGAATTATTGATATCACATAATGAATAAATAGTAATTATTTGAATATAAATTCAGTTTTTGATATTTAAAAACCGATTTGCTATATTAACAAACATTTCATGATAAAAATCAAATCAAATTTGTGATATAAATTCATTCTTTGGTATCCATGAATGAATTAATAAATAGTAAAAAGGCAAATAGAGATAGTTAGTGACAGAAATATACGATAAACAACGAATATTTGCACAACTATCACAAAACCATTCGACACTGACACTGCATCAACACCCGCGGTAAACTGGACACAGTTATGTGCGCACCGATTACATAACCCCTACCGACAGGGTGGGGATGGTGGTTCAAAGCGAAACTTACAGCCCTGTTTGTTGTCTAATAATATGCTGGGCGGCGCCTTTGATCTTGCCTCTAACCATGCATGTTGTAGGAGTAAACGATGATCAGGATGGCCTGGAAATAAACAAGATTCTTTCTTGTTGCATATCAAGGCACCAATTCATCGGTCAGTTTTTTTTTTGTTATGTATGTGTGCCAGGTGTATCCCCAATTAACTAGAAAGTTTCATATCTACAAAAATGTATATGCGTCAGTGTGGTTTATCAACACATGCATAACGCTTATTCACGCTTGGTGTGGCAGACTGAAATAGAAAATTATGATAGCGTCAGCAGGGATAATAGCGGTCATAAGACACAACTTTATTTCCTTTTCTGGCCATAGACCGTGGCATATGAAGATCATACATACATATTTAAGTTACTAGATTATTTACGGCAATACAGTTCAAATATTGTGTTCAATGAAAGAAAACGTTGATATATTTTTAACACACTTATTTTTGTACTATTTAACAAACTGTGGACTTTAAAGACATTTTCGCTTATTGTAATAACATCAAGGTAAAACATCATATCTATCTCTGAAATCCACGAGCATAGTTGCTGTCAAACATAAGAACATAATAAGGACGGCAAGTTTTGACTTGTCGTGTGCCTTAAAGTGAGTTTAAACATGTCAAAAGCGATTGACCCTACAATTTTCGGTCATTTATTACTCAAAGGTTCTAACTGTCAATCGTCTCAACAGGACCATAAGTTTTGTTATATATCGACTCCCTGTCTCTTTGTCTTAAGTTGTCAAGCGGTAACTGCGGTCCAAATTTATCAACTTATTCATCTATTGTTGCAAACTTAACTGATTTGTTTACACAATAAAAATTCTAATTGATCATGAACTACTGAGGCTGTCAAGCACTTGTATAAGAAATGTAAAAGCAGCCATGTAATATGTAGTCCAAAAAGCTGGCAATTATTTCGCCGCAATAAAACTGAAAAAATGCTGATGTGACTTGACATTTAAACTTACCCACAGACAATACATTTTTCGAGAGAGTGTAGCAAAACTTAAAACGAATATGTCCGCAATCCACAAACAATCACTTCATTAATGGCGAACATTTACCTACCCGCGACAATCGTGTCAACTCGAGGTTCCCCTAGCAATAAACTCGCTTCTAAATTCACTACTGTTCTACTGTCGTGTAGCCACAATGGCTAGACTGGACCCTCGTGGAATGGTTCCTGCAACCGAACACTAATTAAGACGGACCGACCTTGTGTTTATGGTCTGGTGAACACAGGTCAATGTCCGCTCATTAACTCAAGATTCACATCTCACTGTTTTGATTTAACTCACTATTCATTTGATATATTTTCCAACTTCAACTGAAACACGGTCCTGTGTTACACGCATGGCACACGCGTGTGCAACGAGTGAGCCACGCGTGTTCAACGGGTGTTCAACCCGTGTGCAACCCGTTGAGCACCCGTGTCACACGCGTGTTACACGCGTTCTCAACGCGCGTTGAGGGGATGAACTTTTAGGCAGAAGTGTACGTAGATGAAAGTATCATCCTACGTAGAAGATTTAAGTATCTTCTACGCAGGTGATACTTTCATCAACGTAGATTATATTTATTTTTTTAGACTATGGCAATAATACGCTTCCATACCCTCCTTTGTGAAGTATCTTATTTTGTTTCCTGTAGGTGTTGATGGTGACAGACCTGGTTGTCAACCTGCTCAAAGTCTTCAACCTGAGCTGGGACGCATGAACCTTTCAGAGTGGCCTCCCCTGCCATCGACCACCCTTCGCTGTATTTGCCCGGGGTTTGCAGCAGAACATTGAAGTTGACCTTACTAGCTGTATCTCCCGTTTCTCATATTAAAATATGGACATTTGTACATAGATATCGTAATTTATCCTTTTCATAATAAATGAAAATTAACCTAATTTATCAAATGGCTATGTTCCCCCGTCCTTGTTCAGTGCGAATTATCAGTGTAAATATTTGAAATGCTGCATCGTTTTTTATGATTCCATAAGAAGGATTGGTAGGTTTGTAAATGCATCTATTTGTTTGTTGTTTTACGCCGCACTCAGCATCATTCCAGGTAAATGATAGTGGCCTGTAAATAGTCGAGTTCGGACAAGAATTTTTTTTTATAAATAATTAATTTATAAGTAACGATCGGGGATTTGGGATACATGCTATTTTCGAAGTACATTTCCGTGTAATATCGCAAATAGATTATGTGCATCATATCCCGGACGACCCTGATCTTGACAGGGCTGTATGACACTACGTAACGAGCTGTGTGTCTCCAGTGTACCAAATATTGCAGGAAACTGACTGACTACTGACTTTACCTTTGACCACGTGGTTCCGACTTGAAACGATTGTCAGTCAGATAGTTGAGGTGAGTGAGTGAGTCTGTGAGTGCCGCTTCAAATTTTGAATACTGTTCAAAGCGGTGTTAAATCGATCTCACTCACTCGTAATATTCAACCTTAGTAATGCCGTTAACACATTATTATTTTTTAACGCCGCTCTCAGTAATCATCTATATGACGGCGGTCTGTAAATAGTCGAGTCTGGACCAGACAACCCAGGATTGACATCATGAGCATCGATCCACGCAACTAGTAAACGATGACATGTATCAACCAAGTCAGCGAGCCTGACCACCCGATCCCGTTAGTCGCCTCTTACGACAAGCATAGTCGCCTTTTCCGGCAAGCATTGGTTGCTGAAGACCTATTCTACCTCGGACCTTCACGGGTTCCGTCAACACATAATACTCTCTGACACTGACATGGCAAGATCGAATAAAGAGAAAAGAGTGAGTGAGTTGGGTTAAACGCCGCTTTTTACAGTATTCCAGTCATATCACGGCTTGTCAGCTTTATATGGGAGGAAAGCCCGAAGTGATGTACAATGTAGGTCTCAGACGTTCACCACTTCGGTGAAACGCACGAGCACGGGTATGGTGCTGACAAACCTAGAAACATAATCGGGGCGAACCATAATCATAGGTTCCTGGCGTACCCAAGGGACGCAACTCTGCACAGCGAATCGCGGCGCCCTAGACGACTGGGCCACCCGTGCCCCCAAAGAGAAAAGAAGGAGTCTCAAAGGACAACCTTGATGTAACCCTAATGAACGAACACTCGAACGAGCCATCCCAGTGAAGACAACCAAGACATATACACCCCAACTATGCAGTTCGGTCCGCGCTTGAGTGACAGTCACCTGGATTCTACGCCTCGTGATAATCACCTTTGAAATCACCTGATTAATGATGAATTAACATCTAATGGCCACAGCATCATGTATTACAACGCACTTAATGAAGTAGTTCATATTGAGGGTGGGCGATGGGGTAGTCTTGCGAGGACATCGTTCGCGCGTCACGTCGAAAACCAGGGTTCGATTCCCCACATGGGTACAATGTGTGAAACCCATTTCCTTTGTCCCCCGCCGTGATATTGCAGGAATAGGACATTAGGCGGCGTAAAACCATTCTCACTCACTCATACTGATGAAGACAATTCTCATCTGATATTTAAATCCATTTGTACGAACCAAACTCCAAAAGATTTTAACTGAAGACAAAATTAAGCATACATAGGTTTCAAAGAACAATCTTTTCCCGAGAAATGGCTGCATGATTTTTGTATAGCTGTCCGTGTAAACATGATGTCGGACGTGCTAACTATGATTATTTATACATTCTCCGAGGTATCCTCGAATGAAAAGTAAACATTATGCCCCCCTTCAGCAAAACTTTAAACCGGAGAGGAGTGACGACAAGCTACACTCCGATAAGGAAGGCGGTCACATGTTTTACATGCTCGACACAGGAAAATATGAAGGACACATCTTTGAAACAACCAAACAAACAGGCAATGAAGAGTAGTGGTTGCCATAGAGACAGGATATCAAGGTCATGAAGAGCTGCAGTTGCCCTAGAGACAGGATGTCAAGGTCATGAAGAGTTGCAGTTGCCCTAGAGACGGGTGTACCAAGGTCACGGAGAGCTGTAGTTGCCCAAGAGACGGATGTAACAAGGCCATGAGCTGTAATTGGACTGGAGTACCAAGGTCACGAAGAGCTGTAGTTGCCCTAGAGACGGGTGTACCAAGGTCATGAAGAGCTGTAGTTGCCCTAGAGATGGGTGTAACAAGGTGATAAAGAGCTGTAGTTGCCCTAGAGAACGGTGTAACAAGGTGATAAAGAGCTGTAGTTGCCCTGGAGATGGGTGTAACAAGGTGATAAAGAGCTGTAGTTGCCCTAGAGATGGGTGTATCAAGGTCACGAAGAGCTGTAGTTGCCTTCGAGACGGGTGTAAAAAAGTTATGAAAGTGGTTTAAACATATTTATTTTCACAAAAGTGTGAAAATGGATTGGTAAACAAGCGAAGCGCTTATGTTAATACCGCTCCATTACACATAGGACATATACAATAAATACATCAATGAACGTTAGATGTAACAAATGAATTGTACATGCCAAGCTAGATGTGTATATATAATAAATCTATTTGCAGTTCATATTAAACAATTCATTTAACTGAAAATCTGCCAGTTTTTTTATGTAAAGTTTTGAATAGAATCTAATATTAGGATTTGCTCTTCCTTACTCAAGTACGAATTTCCGTATATCACTGTTTATAAAGAATAACCATGTTGGTAAAAATACATTTCATTTCGAAGAACATAGTAATTTGTACACACAAAAAAGAAGAAGTGTAAAGCATCTTCGGTATATCCACAGGAACAAGTTTTTGTATCCAAGATACATCTATCATACTGATTTGGGTTAAGATCGCTGCAGCCAAGCCTGAGGCGACTGTGAATAATTTGACATAATCTGCTTCCATAATTTAAATCCCAGTGTATACCATTATCTCCCTGTACGTGAAGCAAATTCTTAAATTATGTAACGGTCTCTGCCCCCGTTAGGTTTTCTGGTAACATATTCCAAAGTTGTTTTGTAGCTGGTATACACGAATCTGCATAAGTTTTGTTTTACACTTCACTGTTTGAAGATTCGTTTTATCCCTTAAGTCATAATTTGTGTTTTCCGAAACTGTGAAAGGAATAAGCCTACAAAGATATTCGGGGGATAAATGGTTATTCATTTTGTAAAACATTACCAGTTTTAAACTGTATCTTCTGTCTTTTAATGACTTACACATTTTACCAATGAGTTAGCTTGTTCATCAGTACAGTTGTCCCAAATATGACAACAATAATCAAAAATTGGTAAAATAAATGATTTGTACATAGTTTCTAAGGTAGTTCGGGCTAGACGATATTTGTAACTCCTTTAACAATTAACCAGAGGACAACATTTCCTTACAATATCATCAATGTGCATTTTCCATGTTCAATTACTTTGTAAAGTCATACCAAGTTGCTTATAACTTTGTACATCTTTTATTTCTGTACCATTCATATATAAGTTAGGTTTGCGACTAGGGTTTACTTTACGGGTAAATTGAATAGATTCAGTTTTTCGGGACTAAATTTAACTTGCCATCTACCAGCCCATTCTGAAATTCTGTCCAAGTCATTATTGAGATCACGAGCAGCTCTATCAGGATCTTCTATGATCACATACATAGATGTGTCATCAGCAAGAAGTCTTATATTACTATTTATTCCTTCAACAATGTCATTGATAGAGATAATAAACGATAATGGTCCCAGGACCGAGCCCTGTGCCACACCTGCCAAGAAAGCCTTTGGATCTGAGCTATAGGCATTTATAACTAACTAGCTTTTGATATCGATTGTCTAAGTATCTATCAAACCATCTCAATAAATTTCCATAAATACCATGATGGTGTAGCTTATAAATTATTCCTTTGTGCCAAACTTAATCAAAAGCTTTGCTTACGTCACAAAATACAGCTCTAACTTCCTAACCTTCATCTAAAGCCTTTGCTGTAAAGTCATATAAATAGGTCAACTGATTTGAGGTGGAGTCTCCCTGCGTGAATCCAGATTGTAGGTTAGTGAGCACATTATTATTCCTTAAATACTTGTACACATGTTTAAATATACATTTTTTAAGATATCTTTGCTAAACAACTTGTGAGCGCAACCGGTCTGTAATTTAAACATTCATTCACGCTATTCTTCTTATGAATAGGAATGATAAGAGTTTCTTTCCACAGTGATGGGAATATTGCACGTTCAAGAGAGAAATTGAATAGTTTAGTTAGGATAGGGGCTAAACTGTAAACTGTGTTTGTAACAAGGTCATGAGAGTATCTAGTTGCCCTTGAGACGGGAGTACCAAGTTCACGGAGAGCTGTAGTTGCCCTAGCGACGGGTGTATCAAGGCCATGAGTAGATGCATTTGCCCTAGACACTGGAGTACCGTACCAAGATCATGAAGTGCTGTAGTTGCCCTAGAGATGGGTGTATCAAGGCCATGAGGGGCTGTAGTTGCCCTAGAGACGGGGGTATCAAAGCAATGAAGTGCTGTAGTTTCCCTAGAGATGGGTGTATCAAGGCCATGAGGGGCTGTAGTTGCCCTAGAGACGGTGGTATCAAGGCCATGAGGGGCTGTCGTTGCCCTAGAGATGGGTGTATCAAGGTCATGAAGAGCTGTAGTTGCCCTAGAGATGGGTGTATCAAGGTCATGGAGAGCTGTAGTTGCCCAATAGACGGGTGTATCAAGGTCATGAAGAGTTGTAGTTGCCCGATGGTTTCAATGCAATGATTATCTCTAGTTTACCCAGGTGAGGTGAGATGGGGTTTGACGTCGCGTTCGGTTATATTGCACTTACATGGCGACGTGTGTGTCTGTATGTCTGTGTCTGCTAGTTCACCGAGATACCATGTCGCAGTTTAACATGGATATTTAACTCCGACACATTTTCTTTTACTCCGAGCCGACCAGTCCTTGTTCTACCCCCTTAATGTCAAGCTCCAGACAG